GAGGGGTCTGCATCATTTAACGTGAACCATTGACAGATCCTCCGCACTCCAACGTATTAGGCCACACCCGTGTTTGCTGTTTTTTTTTTTTTTTTTTCGCGATTGGCGCGCATCCCGTCCGTCGTCCACTAAAAGAGCCCCACATGCTCGCGTCGTCCCCCGTCATATGGGTTTCCACTCACTCGTAGATCTACCTACTTCCAGACCAGGGTCCCGAATCATCATCCCCTACTGCGCTTTTCCTTTCCTTTCCTTTCCTTTCGTGCCACAGGGTATTCGGGTCCCAAACTTGTTGCTGATGATGATGATATCCTCACACCGATCTCAGTCCACGTCGGTACACAATCACCCGGCTTTTTGATCTCGTTTCTCAAACTTCTACTTCCAATGAATGCTTTTTTTTTCTTTTTTCCGCGCACACATCAACAAGAATGCCGGTTACGGTCGCGCGCGTCGTATTTCTCACCCTACTTTCCAGGATCCAGAATCATGCTTCTCCACTTACCACCACCACCTCTTGCGCATCGATCTCTCTGCTCGCTACGGCTTTCTTTCCCTCTATCGGACCAGGGGGAAACGAGTAGCATGCATCACACCGATCCGGCATTTCCTCCTCTCCTTCCTTCCTTCCTTCCTTCCTCCAAGATCCCAGAATGCCCCCGTGTCGATAACCCTACCCTCATCACAATCAGCTGCTGTTTGATCTCCCTCTCTCTCTGATTTACCTTTACATTCAGGGGGCCACACGCGTGTTTTTTTTTGCGATTGGCGCGCAAAAATCCCCGTCGGCCGTCGCGTGCTCGCTCGTATTTCTCACCCTCGCATGTGCGCTTTCCAAATCCAGGATCCAGAATCGTACTTCTTCTGCTCCACTACCACGACTGCGTCTTGCTAGGGCGAGAGGCTATATTCGCATCGATCTCTTTGCTCGCTACGGGTTCCTTTCCTTTCCCTCTACGAACCAGGGGGAAATGAGCAGAGCCATGCATCATCACATCGATACGGCATTTCCTCCTTCAATGACCGGTGTCCACGCACATTATATGTTCCCTATCCCAGTCCCAGCCACTCCGCTCCATGGCTCGAGTACTTCTCAGCGCTCCTTCTTGACCTCATTCTCAAACATATATGTTTGCTTTTTTTTCTTTGCGATTATACCCGCTACGATCGCTCGTCACCGAATATTTAAATATCGCTTATAGCTACGCCCGCATGCTCCTCACCCTACTCAGGTCCTAAAGTTGCCGTCTCGATCTCCTTCTTATTGTCAGGCTCCCCACCCAACCAGTATTCATTCTCAAAGCTCGGACAACCATCTCTTTTTTCAGCGTCATCAAAACCCTTGAAGAGAAGAGGGGGAGGCGGGGGGAGGGGAGGGAGGGGATTCTTCCTCAGCTCCGCACGGTTAACAAAGTCTACCCTGCACCCTGCACCCTACGGAACGATCCAGCTTCGTGACGATCTTCGCGCGCGCGCACCCATCTAAACTAAACTAAATCTACTGCGAACTATCACTTTCTCACTTTCCCTTCTTGTCGCCTTCCCCTTCAAACGTCGAGGAATTATGCAACGCGCCATTGAAGAGTTCAAAACTAGTACGTATATCCCCAGCCAACAATCATCCGCGAGCTCCAGTCCCGTTCGCGTGCATCCTCCCTCCTCATTCCATTCTGTGGCGTCGCCTCAGAACATGACCTCAACGCAGTCGAGCATCGCCTCCTGACCGACAACACTTTCGTTGTTTCCTGGCAAAAAATTCATTCACAGCCTATTAATACCCAGTGTCTAAGCTATGCTATGGTGGGAGCGAACACGACGCCTACCCTAACCTCAGCCGAATGAAGGTGGTTCATTACCTGCTCTCATCTCCGGACCGTTGGCTCGGCTCAAATCCCTCAGCCCTGTGATGAGTCCATGCTACTACTCCCTTGTCATGGCCCATGACGTATCTTTCCCTTCTCTCCCCCACTCCCCGCAACCTTTACCCTGCTTCAGACACATGAAAGGGACACGAGTTTGCGATCAGCCTGAGTTTTCGCCTGTTGACTACGCTTTTCAGGGATCATCTCCCGAGCTTTTTCGATGCCCCAATTCCACTCCTAGACCAATCAGTTTTCTTTACTATAGGCCCCTCACGTCTTCCGACATATTTTTTTTTTGTTTGCCCAGAGGTCTCTAGCACCAGACATAAAGGGGCCCCAAGTCCTATCCTGTCGCTGGCATTAGTGTGACGTACGATCAACTTGATCCCTTTCATCTAACGATTTTACCTGGTGCTACAATTCCTCCCGGCTCGTGGTGGTTAAAGTTCGAGTCTCCTCCTCAGTGGCCGGCCATCTTTGCTCTAGTTTCCTCGCTACATCCTCGTCCAGTCGAACTTCCAAGTTCGAGTTGCGTCCATCTCAAACTCCGTCTTTTGCAGCTAGTGATAGCCGGTTTCATTTCGCGCCCCCCCCCCCCCCATGGCAGTTCGCTCTAATTTCGATCTCGCCACCTGTGACCTTACACGTGAAGGCCGCTTGTTTCCGTTTATCTTAGCAGCTCATTTTGGGGGCGAGATGATATTAAGCTTGGGCTATTACCTAGTGGCCGAGACTTTTGCTCGTCAGCTGGGAAAGGGGAAGGAACCGAGTCTCGATCACGTCGCTTAACACGGGGAACGTGCGTTAGAAAATTTATAACTGCGATCTGGAGAAAAGCACTCATTTAGAACCGATCTCCCAAATGTTCATGACGGACATCTTTTTTTAAAGTTTCATCTCTTATGTATATATGTCCAGCACATTTCTGTCTACTGCAGGATCGCCGTTTCGATCTCTCTCCCCCGAGTCATGGGGTTACCCTTCATTATATCGAGTACTGCCACATCTGTCCGACATTGTTCCCAGCCACCGAGGGCGAGGGGGGGAAAGGAAACATTAAATAGAATAGCGGCGATCTAGGTACTGAGATGTAGCCTGAGCAGTCGTGCTGCCCGACGTTCATTACCGACTCTTCTTCATTATACCCGCACGCGCGCGATTACTTCTGCATCCCAACGGTGTTTCTTGCGATGATCGCAAATCATCCCCCCCAAGAAGCGTTCCCCCCCCCCTTCCCCTCCCACGCGTCTTCGTGGGGGCTAAACATAAGGAAGAAGAAGAGCGTGCCTTCCCTCTTCCCTACCTTCGAGTTCTTGTGGCGCCGAACATTCGTCGACATGACACTTGAAGGGATTCTCTCTCCCCACGGACGGATACACGTAAAATCCCCATTGGTGGCGCTGCAGCAGTTCCACCGATGTACTTATGCTTGTCATTCAAGGAGAATATTCGGAGGAACCGGGAACGTTTAGACTCCGGGAACGCATGGTATTTACCGAGTCTTGAGTCATAGCGTCGACAAGGTATCCATGTAATAACTCGGACCGCACAGGCCTCTACATTCTCGCAGCAGTATATTACAAGTTTACCATCAAATGACGGAGGTTCAACAGCATACTCTCGGATTCGGGCGCTGGCAGGGCAAGGTGGGAAAAACACGGAAAATCCCAGAGTTATACAGCACCGGTACGCGAGCTTCTAACCTTAGCTCCACTCCAGTTTCAGGAAGGAGAATGTTAATCCCGCCCCTTGGGCGGACATCGGTTTCTGGCCTAACGGAAATACCCATTCCCGACCCCGCCTTTGTGCCGGATTAGGATTAGGGAGAGATCGATAATCGATCAAGCTCGGATACACCCGCAACTAGTATAAAATCCACTGCACCACACCTTGCTCCTTCATTTTTTTTTTCTTTTTCTTTTTTTACCTCCCACCAAATCTGGTCTATCATTTCGTGGTCTCCCCTCCCTTCCCACAACAACCCGCCACTATATCTCTCCCGAAGGGAGATTGATTAACGGTTTTTTGGCGCTGACCTACTCTGTTTGGCTTGGTTGGTAGGATCGATGGAACCAGAGCTCTAGTAGTCATCGATGATCGTGTTGCTAGTTGTTGGAGGTCCAGCGGTGGTGTTTCCGATTTGTTTGTGGTGGCTCTCCCCTTCCCCCCCCTGGTGAGTTAACTGCATGCTCGTAAAAAAGATTGATGACTGATCCCCACCCACCCCGTGTCGTCATCGAGATGAGCAGCTGGTATGAATGGTGCCGTATTCATATATGGGATTCGATGACATTTCATGGCACGACTCCGGCGATTGCGTAAGAGGAAGAAGAGGTGGGGGGGGAGGGGCGGATCCTTCATTATCCAGGACGGGTTTCTCGGATGTCACGACCCGCCGCCGACATGTTGGTGCTGATAACGGCCCGTCGCTCCCTTGCTTTCCCTATGTCCGATGAATTTCAATCTCCTGGCTTTATCCATATGCTCATATGCTCATACTCCCCCCCCCACGCCACTGACGGCCTCTCTCTGTGGTAACACGTAACTGGGGATTTCTCTTGGGATCAGCCATCCTGGGTCGGTTGTTCTTCGTTGAGGTTTCTCGGTATCGGTTGCAACGTGAATGGGGCTTCGGAAACGGTGGTAGGAGCTTGTGTGGCTCAAGAGCAACCCGATTCGCTCGGGGCATGTCTTGAAGGACTTTTGGGAATTCCCTGGCACATGTTCACGGTTCGCTGGAAATAGACCCCTAGTAATGATATGCGGATGAGTCTTTTGTTTTCCAAATGAGTTTTGCCGGGTCCGTTGAGATGAGTGTGAGGGTGTCATTTCGGTCCCGCCATTGCCAATCGATCCATGCAAGCAAGGGCTATACTTGCTCCAGGGCATGATAGGTGCCTCCGATATGAGGGGAGGTTCGCTTAGCGCCACCGTAGCTCCGGGACAATCCTGCGTACCCTTGATTCTGAATCACAGGGACCGCACGTTGATCTACGATTCATGTCACCATGCCATTCGTGGTTAAGTTATATGAGGACTACAGGAAGGTAACACTTCGCCTCGCCTCACCTTCCACTTTGCAAACGTTCATATCCGGCGCGTGTAAGTGATGGTAAGCAAGTACATGCTGTAACCGGAAAGGAGTAAAAATGCCGCCACAAGAGGTCCCTACTAGTCCCGAAACCGAAGAATCGGATGTAGAGGAAAGAAGTCAGAATCAATCTTGCGGCGTGATTGGAACACAAGAGCATTGGGTTAATTGTCTACCCGGCAATCGCGCAATATGTTGCGCTGGGGCCCGCGACATACAGAAAATTCAGCTGGACATTTGACGAAGAAAGATTTATTTTCACATACATCTGAAGGCCTGGGGATTGAAAATTGGCTGACCCGGTGAGCCTGCAAGTATATCATACACGTGTAAAAAGGATACATAATTGGATCGGCCCACAATTTACGCAGACCATGTCGTGTTGTTTTCATATCACTGTACTGCGGCAGGAGTGTAAGTAAGTATCATTCAAAAATTTAAAAAAAGTCACTGCATTGGCATGAGTCATTGTTACCTGCCATTCGCAGCCGCCCAAATTGCCGCCGCGGGGCTGTACCTCCCGGGAGCGAAAAAAAAAAAAAAACAACCTTGTTCGGTGCCTCTACTACTAAGTAGTAACAAACTCTCGAGCCTGCCCCTCCAGTCTGCGTGCCACTAGACGTAAAAGAAAAGGGGAATAAAAAGGCGAAAAAGGGCGCAGTCGGGGATTAGATCAGAATCTTACCCAGAAAGGCAGTGAATGGACCCTGTTTTCGAACATGAGGCACTCCAGCTCAGCCCATATAAGACCGACGCGTCCCACTTTCACTTGCCTCCTCTCCCTCCCTCCCTTTTTTTCCCTCTATCAATGGACACTATAAAGAGCATTCTTTCGCCTTTGGGCATGAACACCGGGGCTATTCAGGACACGCTTGTGGGTTTCTTGTCTCTGATACCTACCAGGGCCCGTCGTCGTTGACCGCGCTACCGAACAATAGAAACTCGTCGTCATAGGGGGAACCGTCGAGACAGCACGGAGAGCATCGGTGTCGGCATGGAATGGTTTTGTAGATTGTATGTTGGTCTCCCCTCTGGACCCTGCATACTTACTGGAATCCTCTTGCAGCCTTCTTCCTCACCGCGCACTTTAGCCAGGAAGATTACCCGTATGATTGGTATGCCAACTTCTACAGCACTACTCCCGAATCTATTCTTACCATGGTCGTTCCTAGGCTGATGCACTGGTTATCCAAGGTACGCTTTCGTCGGAAGGGAAGAGGGGGGGGAGCGCTGGGGTTGGGGTAAAGCGCTTACTCTTTTTTTTTTGTCTTTTACAGCAACCCGCTTGGGGCCGGAGCCGAGAGTTCGAAATCACGACACGTTCCACGGGCCGTAATGGCCTCACGCAGTCCACCACTGGCGACCTTGATGAGGATGAGGACGACGAGGACGACGCGCTCGTTCATGGTCGACGGAAACGCAAGGTGGCCTTTATGCCAAGCATTGGTACGTATGCTTTCCGACCCTTCCTTTTCATGACTCACGTCGCCACGTACTCGACCCTAGACACGACGCATACCATATATTATCGCGGTCACTGGCTGAGAGTACGTCTCGACCATCTATGTGTTTAGGCAGGGGCTAATCTTCTGGCCCTTTCACTCAGATAACCAGAACGAAGCGCTACCCCGATTACGGCCACGGATCATCCCTCAAGATCAGGTAAATATTACCTGGTCCCGTCTCTCCGATCTCGTCGTTCCATCAAACTCAAATACTTCCTCCAACAGTGTCGTAGCACGAAATAACGACATTCTCAAGAAGCTCGTCCTCGAGGCAAAGCGAGAGTACGAAAAGGACGCCGAACACCGTGTCCATATATTCCTCGCCGACACGTAAGTCTACGTTTCCTCCCTCTCCGAGGTGACGTGTCGGATGTCTTACCCTAATACAAGATCCTATCCTTGCTGGCGTTGGAACGGCGCTCGACAAAAGCGACCAATGAGTTCCATTGTTCTCCAACCTGGTGTCAAAGATATGCTTCTCGCTGATTGCAAAGACTTTCTGTGTTCGGAAGAATGGTGCGTGCTCATTTACCCCCAATGAATTGAACGCGTTTGAATGTTTTTTTTTTTTATTAACTTTCCCAGGTACGCCGAAAGAGGTAATATCATTTTGATGATGGGAGAAAGAACTCGATGCTAAACCAAGAATAGGAATTCCTTTCCGACGTGGGTACCTTCTGCATGGTGTACCGGGAAGGTGCGTTGCTTTCATATGCCATGTCCCATTAATTAATGAATCCATACCGCAGTGGCAAAACCTCCCTTATCCACTCTCTCGCTGGAGAACTAGGGCTAGATATCTACGTTGTTTCATTGTCATCAAAGGGGTACGTGCCGCCCCCCGCCCCTTACTATTTGCCGTGCCATGTATCATTCCTAACCCACGCTTCTACAGTATGAGTGACAACACTCTAACGACACTGATGGGACACGTGCCATCAAGGTCTGTCGGTCTCCGAAAACATACCCCCATTCCCACCTCTCATCTGACATCAATCCCGGCTGACATAGATGCATACTCCTCTTGGAAGATCTCGACGCGGCGTTCACCCGCTCTGTAAGCCGAGACTCAAATTCCACCGGAGCGCCCACAACAACGACCACCACCGCCGGTACCTCCGACAGCAACACCACCAACAACGATGGGTCGACTCTCAGTCTCAGTGGGCTCTTGAACAGTCTCGACGGCGTCGCCGCCGCCGAGGGTCGGTGAGCTAGTACTTTGACGTTCCTAGATCCGACTTGTCCTGCTTATACGGCTCCCTTTCTTTACCCTAAACAGTCTATTGTTTGCAACGACCAACCACATCGAGCGCCTCGACCCTGCCCTGAGCCGTCCAGGCCGGATGGACGTGTGGGTCAACTTCACGCACGCCACCAAATGGCAGGCGGAGGGTATTTTCAAGTGTTTCTTCCCTTTCAAGCCTTCATCTGTCAACTCCTCTACTCCCCTCGTTGCAGCCGCAGTCGCCGCCGCCGCCGCGTCGTCGTCGTCCGACTCTTCGCAGAAGAACCTTCCGGGTTCGAAGCGCAAGTCGACGCATCAGATCCCTCTGTTAAGCGAGGAAGAGATTTCAGAGCTGGCTAAACGGTTTGCTGAGTCCATCCCGGAGGATGAGATGAGCGTGAGTTTTTTGTGTTTTCTGTGTATTGGGATAAGTGTTTTTTTTAACGTTCTCGAAGGTCGCAGCCCTACAAGGTTACCTCTTGAAGAACAAGACGCGTCCTCGTGAGTGTGTCGAAGAAGTCGCGGAATGGGTCATTCAGGAACGTGAGACGCGTGAAAAGCTAAAGAAGGAGAAAGCCGAGGTTTTTTTCATTTCCCTTGGATCGCGCCTTTGAATTTGGATTTTTGACGTCAATATTTTATTATAGCGTGAGGCCAAGGAGAAGAAGGAGGCTGAGGAAAAAGCACAGAAAGAGGTAGGCGTTTTTTCCGTTATTTACGCCCTGCCCATTGCTGAGACATACATTTTTTGCGTGATTTAGAAGGAGGAAAAGGAGGCCAAGGAGGTCGGTGTATATTTATTTTGCTCTTGGTTTGATGCTCATAAATATTTGCTAATTCAGAAAGAGGAGAAGGAAACTAAGGAGGTATGTTTTCTTTCCCCCCCCCCCCCCCCCCCCCCCCCCCCTTTCCGTTACATTAGCTCACGGCAGTCGCCTATCAGAAACTCGAAAGGAAAGAAGCCCGAGCGAAGGCTAAGAAAGCCCTACGCGCAGAGGCAGCTGTGAAGAGTGAACCCACTGCAAGCACTGAGTCCACGGCGCCCACTACCGCCGAGTCCACCAGTGACTCCTCCTCCTCGTCCGAGTCTGAGAACACCACAGGTGTCGACGCGGACACTGAGGAAAGTGTGACGTCTGAGGAGGAGGATGCATCATCCACTACGGAGAACGGGAAGAAGAAGGAAAAATGGGTCGCGGTGAAGGGTCAGTCGACCGCTGAGACTACTGATGACGCCACCGCAGAATCGACGACATCGTCGTGATGATGCGCCGATCTCTCTCATCTTTTGCTTTTATTTACAGCCTCCGTCTGATCGTCACTCTCCTGTCTTTGTCCCAGCCCGAAAGGTCTCCCTGCCCCTGCCCCTGCTCCAGCTCATGTCACTCACTGCTCAATGCTCCGATTCTCATTCCATTTCGTATACATCTTAGTGGTCCCTCTTCCGTTACCCTGTCCTCATGTTTTTGGCCGGCAATTAGAATTCATTCAAGAGGCGTCTTAAAAGCGTCTATTGGACTGTCACATTACCGCACAGAATGAGCGAATGAGGTGTCATGAGCTGTGATATCTGAGGTATGTATTATTTTGGTTCATGGCTGTATATATATATATAGTGCGTGTACGAATGGAAGAACAAAACACGACGTAACATTAATAAGAACAAGTCATGTAGAGAGATTCATATCGATTTCATGTTAACATCCGAGAGCGTCTTAAATGCCCCCTTGTACGCATCCAAAAGCGCCTTCACCCTCGTCCGCTCGGCAACTAGACTCTCGTCCTCATTAAGCATATCCGCAAACAGCTCCGGCTTGTACAGCGACGCAACCAGCCGGTTCTGGACCTGCTGCGAAGTATGATTCACAAGGAAATGCATAATCGCCTTGGGCACCAAATCCAGGACGCTCTGTCTGACAATCTCAAAGTACGAGGTGATGAGGGACCGGATAAGTGAGGTCTCCATCTCTTCTCGTACATTGGGATGGCTTGCTTCCGGAGAGATCTAGAAAATGTAAAGGCGTCAACAACCGGAAAAAAAAGACAAAGCGTTAGTTCCCCTCACAGCTTCTATATGTTTGCCGAGACTCTTCATGTCATATGCGGCACTGTTCCCATCTAAAGGACGTCGACCAGCCATCAAACCAGATGAGACGGCAGGATCTGCACCCGATGTGTCTCGCCCAACAGGGACAATAGCATTACTGCTTGACCGCTCCTGTGGCCCCGCTCCAGACACGGGGCCAGGTCCGTTTGGACCAAAGAAGTAATTGAGGAACGTTTCCCTGGCTGAGGATGATGAGCCAGAGACAGAATGCGGCCGATGGGGCTGGTTGCGCAAAACAGACGGAGTCTTTTTGGTGAGAGGAGGCGTGGAAGAGTTAGTGGTAGCGGTGGGTAACGTTGGTGTAGCTCGTGAGCGGTCATGGATGGTGTTTGACACGGAGCGAACACCATGAGCTCCACTCGTGGTGCTGGTGGTATCTTCCGATGAGGTCTCGTCTTCATCGTCTGCCGAAGAAGCGATGCCGTTTATAGGCTCGGTAGACGCAGGCTAAACAGTACTAAATCAGAACGGACATTGCATTATTGTAGGCAAAACTTGCCCGTGGAGGAATTGATGGCCTACTCTGGTACTGCATGGGTTGTGCGTTTATCGTTCCAGAAACGAATGCCGGATGGTTCGTGTTGATGTAGGCCGCCTGAATAGCAATAAGGCTTTGTGTATATTCCGATGTGGGGCTCAGACGCTCCCGCAGCAACTCTGACACCACCTCTACCAACTGCGCATGAAGACGAGGGAATCGTTGCAGCTCCTGCGAGGGTTACAATGAGACCGTGAATTGACCAAACGCAATCAGTTACATACCACGCTCGTACAATTATGACATATCTTCACCAGCTCCTCGTATACCAGCTCCACACACCGAAGACTGGGCGCTTCTAGCAGTTTGATCTGAGGCTTCACGAGAAGATCAAACGCAACTTCCGGAACGAAGAGACTCGGTCTTGGGCCTGTCGAGTTGCGGATAGCTGTTCGAATGTCTTGGTCGTCTAGGTTTTGCGTAGGCTCAATGGAGCTCAATGCATGGCCAAAGATGTCGTGGAAGATGTAATATATCCGTGCGCCGCCGGACAATTCCTTGGTTGAGATGTCAATGTTGGTGCCGTCAATCGATGAGACGAAGTCCCTCGCGAATTGGGTCATGAGTCGTAATATCAATGATCCTTGCTGTACACAATTATTTAATGCTGGCAATGAGAAGATAGCACAGTCAACGCACTTGGTTCTTGTCCCCAAAGACAGCGGCGTCACCAAACGAGTTGAGTTCCTGCTGAGCCTGCCCCATGAGTGTGTTGAGCCTCGCTTTCATGTCAGGTAGCTTCTCCCTGATATGGTTCAACAGAACCTTTCTAGCCTTCAGCCTCGTTTCTTCCCACGCCTATAATGAGCCACCCACCTGATTTAGTGTTTTAGCCAGATATTTAGTACCATTCTTGTGGGAAATGTTGCGGTAGGCGGGATGATTGCAGAAATACTCCGTCTCACTGTCCAATGCGTCCTTCATGCTTTTCTCAGCGTTAATATCCTGCTGACTCCGATTAACAACACCGATGAAGCCGAGTTTGAGGGAATACACGCGACCAGTGAGGATGTCGAGCGCGTTTGTGCCCGCATCCATGAGGTCGAGTTTCGTTAGAATGCCAATCGTGCGACGACCTTGGGGGTCGACTGTCCGTGCGAGCTTGAGAGATTCTGAGTTAGCCAGATCGACATTGGCTGCTGATACCGACAAAATAACACTGCCAGGGTAAGATGGGGCGATTTAGGTAGCTTTGGCGGATCCATACCTGTTCGGATTAGAAATATAATCTACGACGAGGTTGCGAATTTGACGCTCGATGTCGCTAGGTTGGTCGCCGACTGGGATCTTGAGGCTGTTGAGATAGACACAGAAACATAGGACGCCTGTCGCACACCTTTGTCAATCCAGGTAAATCCACCAGTGTCAAATCGAGAACATCCGGACTGTAAATCCTCAGCGAGATGGGTAGCTTACTGACACCCTTGTTCTGGCCGGCGACCCGAAAGGTTTCCTGCTCTATCTCTTTTCGTATTTCATTAAAGTCGGTGAATCGCTTATCGACATGAAGGAATTGGGCCCATTCGGTGTACGGCAGGTTGTTGGGAGACGACTCGAAAGGCACCGGCGTATGTATGAGTTGGAGGACAAGTGGTCGTCTTGTTACAATTCCTTGACCGCGGGGAAGGAAATCCCGGCCGACGATTCTAAAGGCAACATCAGCTGAGATGTCGCAAAGAAATTCAGAACTTCATACGTCTCCAGCACACTGGATTTGCCTGCCGACTGACTGCCCACCTTTTGAAATGGGATTTAGTAGAATTCGAATGAATAATATGAAGTTATACGCACTACGACGAGCTGCGGCATATCCAGTTCTCCTCCTAAGGATCATTTCAACTTTTGGAGATTTCCAGAATGTAAAGGCACCGACCAAGGTTACTGAAGGTGTCCTGGAGTTTGTTAACCAGCTTTATAAGATCGGAATCCATGGCAGGCTGGCAGTGATGGGTTGACGACGGAGACAGAATGAGGAGAAGGGACAAGATTTTTTGTGCGCGTCGCGTCGCTACGGCTGCATTCCTTTGCGCTTGTTTGATACAAATGTGAATTACGTAACGCAATGCTTTTCTTAGAGGCCTTCTCAACGCGCGTCCTCGGCCAGTGCCGCCAGTACTGGTTTACAGTCGATATCTTTTTTTACTCACAGAGGAAAGGGTTTACATGTCTATATTTTGATGAAATAAAATAATTCAAGGCTGTGATAGACGAAATCCGATGCGTGGAAGTGCTAAGTTGCCATAATAAGTGATACATTTTCGGGCCCTTCTGCAGCACCGCAACGTTGGTGAAGCCCTTAGATCGAAGAGACGATACAGACAGATATGTATCTATAACACAACTCATTGCATCCTGATGATGTCTCCCTCCAACGTGACTCTAGCCTTATGAACTAATGACCACTGAGAACATACTTTAGGTTTCTGCCACAAGAAACCGGAGCTGACATCATTGATGCCGGTTCATGTAATTTCACCCTTCCACACACCGTTCTGGAGCACGGGTGGGTATCGCCCGGAACGCGCTCCTGCACGCGACCCATCATCGCTAATTTATTGCTAGCAACAAACCAACACGACATAAGCACTTACCTTTACGAAGCGGCAAATAATGAGATGCATAGAAGACCGGGCTGTCTCAACCTTTAATGCATTTTTGACATACGTTGCGGAAGAGTTTGACTATAAGGTTATCTGCGCGGAGGAGACCCTTGTAAAGTTCGTCCTTGTCCCAACCTTGCTGCTCCTGTTTCAAAAACTTGGAAGTCATCAGAATTAGCATGGCTGCCTATGTCGATCCATGCCAAATGGAATTATAAACAGCACTGAACAATTGATAATGAATGAGACCCGATCTCGTGGAATATCATTCAATTGGCGGCAAAAATTTTAGATTTCAAGTGCTACGTGTTTATCTTGAAGCCAAAATTTAAAAGCAGAAACATTGACCACAGATCTGCACTCGATTGGCGGGAATTCGCCATCAAGCAGGATACCCTGTTCAAAGACACGCAAGATGCGAAATCGAACCCGGAGACGGTTGGTCGGGGTGTTGCGTCGGGTAACCTCAAGCCGAACATGAGCGTAGACTTATCCGTCAACAATAATCAATAGAACATCATTATAATCAAACCGTGAATACTGACCTTGTTGTCCAGGTTCGACAAGTCTCCGAAATTCAGGCATGGGCTTGAAAGAGAACAACACCTTTTCAGCCTGATGATGTTCGGACAATAGGTGCAAGCGCACCGAACCTTGGGGAAGGCATAGAGGAAATGATTCTTCCAAGGACTGGAGGAGTACCGAATCCTTCTTCAAGCGTAGCTTCAGGAGGGCGCGTATATATTCCGACCCGATCAAATTTCGGTCAACTAGCTTGTCTTTTAACAGCAGCCGCAGCAGTTCCCCATTTCCCTCCACTAACTTGTGCAGCGGAATCGACCACGGCGAGCCGTTAGGCAAGCATAGGTCTTTCCCCAAGCTAAATAAGGACGGTTCGCCCTCTGGAGTGATGCGAAAGCGAATACCACCGCTACCGGCAGGAAGATCGGGGTGTGTCCAATAGTAAAGAAATCCTCTACAGGACATAGGGAAGGGAATATTGACTTTGCCAACCCGTGAGTACTTGAAACGTTGTGTGTAAACGCCCTCTTCCGGGAGGCTTACTGCAACCATACCCGAGAAGTTGCAGAGGTCATTCCGTGACAGATGAGTCGGGTTCAGCGTCGAGATATCCGGGCACCCGCGTTTGAGCAGAAGGGATGTGACAAATGCACGATGGAATGTTGGTGGGCGTCCAAGACTGATTCTCCAGAACACGTCAGATAAGCGTGAAATCATTCCGCATGCTGAGATTGAGCTGTCGTCAAGTCAGTGTCACAGGCGCTGAAAAACTGACTGAAAACGAACTCTTTTCACAAAACTTGATTAATTGATTCCTCTGAGGTTCGAGTTCAGAAGTACGCGCTTCTGGAAGTTCTGCTGCAATGATCTGGCCTTAATAATAACTGAAGCAAGCGAACCAAGAGAGACTAACTGGTGCTAGTTTAGAAAAAGTGAGCGTGACAGCTGACTAAGATCGAAAATGGTTCTCTGTCAATAGGGGTTATACCTCTTCTCCTGATACTCCGTAGGAGGCTAGCCAGCTCTTTGCCACGGGCTGGAGATCCACCGCATAAGGATATCTATCTATTGAACGAATTCTGTGGAAGGTTGGAAAACTACTTCGAAAGCCGTCTTCGTTTTTGCTTGTCCAATTCGCAAATACTCGAAGGCCTCTGATTTACCGTCGTATTGCTTCGATTTCTTCACTGTACCGCAAATCCTCGAAGATTTCGGGTGTCTTTTCCTACGTGAAACTGTATGACTGCCGTAATCTCCTATAAAATCGCCTCTTTGTTTAAGAGCTTTGGTACCCTGCTCATTTCTTTTTCGGCAATTTGGGTTTTCATCTGCAGCAATGATTCCACCTTATCTGACATACATATGGTATACCAGCTCGAAGAGTTTCTGAGGCACTATGTCGACCGTCTAGACTTAACACAAGCTGGTAAACAATTCGTCCAGGTGTGCTATCTAATATCTCGCAAGCAACACTGCTCCAAAAATTTCCTTGGAACCTTCTTTAGCCGCGTCCTGTTCCAAGCCATCCATCCCTTCTTATGCTAACATGCGTGTCAAATTTCTTCGTATCTGGACCCCTCGTGCCTCTTACGATTACGGTCGATCCAAAAGCATGGTCCAAAAAACATCCTCCGAGTTTCAAGTTTACCATATGGTAACTATGTACTATTGACGGTGGGTGTAGCGCCCATCTATCCTTGTCATATTCCTCGATTTAGATTGATAGTATATTCGCATCAAAATCTCCTTAACCCTTCCGAACAGCAGCTGCCTTCCCGAGCTTCCATCGACGATGCTGATGCTCTATCCATTAAACGAAGGACTACGAACCACCCCATAAACGCCATTTGCTTTCTTAGCGCGGTCGTGCAACAGAAGAGAACGATATTTGTTTTCATTACAGAATCAAATATTAATATGAAGAATAGGTTAAGATAGGAAAGGACGACGGCAAGTGGAGCAATGCCATAATCGCGAACTCATCATGGATTATATCCGGGTCCGAACGACGAGAGTACCTACCATATTTATCCAGAGCCCTTCGCTTTGAATCTCGATACCTGCTGTATCCCAAGGACGGCAGCACTCACGGGGAGATGGGGTATGTCAGTGGCGTGGTATGCATGAATTGCGAAGCCTGAGAAACGCATCGATCCGGGTCGAAGGACACACGGAGAGATCGAGTTCGCGTGCGAACCAAGAAGATACACCGCCGGCTGCGGGGATGGCGAAACATGAAGAACCTAGGCCTTGGGATAACGAGAGATGAGACAGGAGATCCGGCCAGACCGGGAGAGTGCTAGTGCCGGAAATTTGGGCAACACCCCAAGCCAAGCCATGCCACTCCGCAAATGAGGTAGGGCCACGACGTTCGGAGATGATCAGACCGCGACAGTGTCCGAGTCGATGGCAGTTTTATAGGCCGCATGAAAAAAAATTTATCTCATGATGCAGCATAAAAGGGGGAGACCAGCTCTAAAGAACGCGAGAGGCATCAATGATGCACGGCCAGTACTCATGTCCGGACCTATCCATGTAGTGAGATCCGAGATAATACGAAAAGGAGTACAGATGGGCTCAAACATTAGGGCAGAATTCGCGGAAATACGGCATGACCTGAACTGCTCTCGAAGCATGAATACATGAAGTCCAAAAAGGTTTTTGTCAGGTAGGCGGCTGTTAGCAATATAACTGCCGGTCCCAGTATCGCGGTACTAAAGGAGCTGGTCGCGGATCAGATTAGCATATGCACTTATCTGGCAAAAGGTATGAACTTGTAAACCTGGCTTGCTATAAAAGCGAGAGCTGCTTTCGGCGCTTTCGCTGCCAACGTTTTAAGTTTGGTAGCGTCTCAATTGGCGTTTTTTGAAATGAACAAAGAGGCATGTTGAAGGTATGCGATATGGCGTGGATCTTGTCAAACATTCTTAGTTACAACAAGCTTCCCGAAAGAACTGGATTTTACTGGCTCAATGGTAGTGGCCAATTTGGCTAGCTTTTCACCATCGAACGTCCCTGCAGAGCGCAGAGAGGATGAGTATACGACATTCTTAGCCGAATGAGGCTGGGCGTACGGTAGCGTGATCGTGTTCAACGTGTTCTTTGTCGTTCTTGCTACTAAGGCTGGGGGGGGGGGCAGCTGATTCGTGCGGCTTCAGCAGAATCGACGATACTGGCAATCACGTTCGTGATACCCCTTCATGGGACTGGCCATGAAGGCCTCTCAGACAAGCCGGTCAATTCGGTAGTATTTGAGGTATCCAGATCATTTTTACGCTAGCGATCTCGATCAGCAAATGTAGACGGTCGATGGAGAGATGTACATGCCTGTATGCTCGGGTTGAAGCAAGCCCTTGCTCACGCTTGGAATATCCAAAATTGAGATATACTTCCAAGTTGTCGGTGTTGGGTGTTTTAAAATAGCGAAGCCTAAACACGAATATTTGACAGTGAGACTAGAGATGCACAATTCAGGGAATGAGCAACTTCGACATAGGATGGAAGTGCTAGCATGCTAGCGGACGTACGTCAAATCACCAAAGCAAGAAGACCTAAGTAGATGTACTCACCATCATGAGAGAAAGATTTACATGCAAGATCACAGGTATTCATGGACATGACAAAACATCCTAAAACGATTATAACAAGATCAGAAGAAGATACTCAGCTGTGTTCACAACTGCGACGTGCCATACATACATACGCCTTCAACGTTAACCGCCACATGACGGCTTCCAATGCATGCCTGCAGTTCTGTCTCTCTTCCTGAGGCTTCTGTTAGACATAGTCACGGTGGTTCTATCGGTCATCTGGGCAATCTTTCAAACGTCGACACATCAGGGAGTTACACAGCTCCGCACTAGTTAACATATTCAATATTGTTCAGTGTTACAAAAGGCTATCATTGGCTCACCACCACAGAGAGAAGTTTGGCTTACTTGAAGGCAACTTGAAATGATGGTATGTGCACAGTCGCCTTCGAACCGTCACCAAAGCCGAAATGCGCATCTACAGCTGATACGCTTAGATAGTCGAAGTCTTCGTATCTCTGGAAAAGGACATCTATGTTACTATTCATGTCAAGCCCGTGAGTGAGCATTTCTTGATCCCAAAGACTGATGAAAGCAAACTGAAGTGGAGACACAGGCCATTGTCATATAAAATAGAGTTTTGGGGCCAAAGATACTTCTTACACTTGCGTGGGTATAAGTTAGGACACGAAGACATGACGTGTCTTCTCGAGGAGTCGCCCTTCTCAAATTCAAGGTGAGTGAATGGTGGTAGCATGTCGGACCGGTGTCGCCGAGCGACGCAAAAAAAGTAACTGTCACGTCATGTGCTGTGACAATTTCCATTTTTGTAACACTATCCTGCTCTTTGGAAGCATCGCATCCTCCAGTGTGTGATTTAGACGCTTCGTTTCCAAGGACGGAATCCCGATGCAATGGGATGACATGTGCACACCAACGGACCGAGAGGTCGCCACGACTTGACCGACTCCGGTACGGTGCACGTGATCACTACCTCCACGTCAGTCTGGTCGTACAAAAGTAAAATTGAATCGCCTTGCTTTTTGACTATACCCCATCCCTCGAACATGCTAACAACACCGCTACTTGCATTGACACTTGCTCTCATTCCATCGCTGGTGACGGCGGCGATATTTCCGGAAGGTACCACCGTGAAGATGTTGGACGCGAAGGGTTTCAAGAAGGTAATGAAGGCGAATGTGCGTAGACATCGAAATGCTAAAATGCAAAGATGATAACTGTAGTCTAGGAAACGAGCATGATAGCATTCGTCGCGCCTTGGTGTGGGGTGAGTAGGCCTTTCCATGATATATAGAACGACGTGGCTGAATGACAGCTATAGCATTGCCAAAAGATGGCGCCAGAGTATAGCAAGGCTGCTAAAGCACTGCATCCTCTGCTTCCCACGTATGCTGTCGATTGTGATGCTGAGAAGAATAAGCGGTTGTGCGCGGAACAGGTATGTGCCTAGCATTAAAAGACGAAACACTTACTGATAATTAATATAGGGAGTACAAGGTTTCCCTACAGTCAAGGTAACGCTCGTGTTCACCGTTCAAAGGCAAACAATGAACGAACGATCATATAGCTCTTTCGCCGAGGCGACCAAATGCCGCCAATATCCTATAACGATGGTGAACGCAAGGCTGGTGCCTTCTTCTACTGGGCCTCCCAAAGAGTTCCTCGCTTCGTCAAGAAACTTTATCACGTGGAAGAGCTGAAACCCTGGATTGAGGAGGTGCGATAATGCGTATATCGCGCTATCAGCTAGCTCTGATGTCCGCTGTAGTCCGCTACATCTCCAAAACCTCGGGCATTACTGGTGACCAAAGAAAAGGATATGCCGCTCCTCTGGAAGGTCCTTGCAAACAAATACTCGGGCGACATCGACTTTGTAATCCACCGGAATCGCAAGGGCAAAGGTTCGAGGGCCTTGGGATACAAGTCAGCAGAGAAGATTCCCTTGGTGCTCATTTACCCTCCAGGAGAAACAAGGGCGATTCGTTATGATGGTGCGTCTATCCTTTTTGCACCCTGTTATCAGCTGTTGGTTGTTGACCCCACGATCGTCCAGGCCCAAACAAACTGGAACCCCTCTCGAAGTATTTCGACACCATTGTGGATGGCACGGTCGATTGGAGTATTCCTGAAGAACCCACCGTCGAGGAAGATATGTCGGGAGAAGATGCAAGCACGTTCGAAGCCGAAACCGAAGCGGATGAAATTGTGATCGATAGTCCCGCGACACCGACAGCGTCAGAACCTGAACCCGAACCTACGGAGGAAGGGGTAGAGCCCGAGCCTGAGGTTGTTGGGGAGAGTTTGACTGCTGAGCCGGGGGAGTCTGCTCCTGAGCAGACTGTGGTAGAGATTGTCACTGAGGAACCTGAGGAGGAGGAGGCAGAGTCGCCAGAAATCGCGGATGACGCAGAGACGGAGCAAGTCGTGCTAGACACTCCGGGCGAGCCACGTCCCGTCGACGAGCTCTAATTTTTTTTTTCTTTGTGGAACGTTTGTAGGATAATAATCTAAGATCAATATTATTATTGCTGATAAAGCCATCGACTACGTATAAATTACACTAAGTTATTGAAATTGATCTGCTCCGTCGATCACAATCAATAATTTCTTCTTTTCGCTGTTCTGATTAGGCACGTAATGGATTCCGCCAGGGTTTGTTTCAAAACTTTCTACCTAGGACCCTTGGTAGAGATAAAGAGTTCGTCTTATCTTCGGTGTGCTGAGACACGTTCATGTATCCGGGAGCGGGATCTTAAAACTCTGCACCGACAACTCAATGGCGGGGAAAAAAAACCGTGGCCTACCCTAGGTCTTGGAGAAAGCGAACGGGTCCGGCTCGCCGACGTGTGAAGAAGGTTTCTGGAGCTCGCCAGTACTGGCAAGTTCAAAGAAATATTGTCGTGTAAGGTGGATACAATAACTAAAGTTTATGATAACTTAAGTCCGGGGAGGGGAGGGGGGGAGTAGGACCGGTGAGGGGAATTCGTAAACAAGGTCATAGATCTATGATGATGGTAGCGTAGTCCGTCTGTCTATATGATAGTCCAGGAATCGTCTATGGATGATGAGGGCGTCTAAATCAGATTACGGAGAACGTCAGGCGCAGATTTTTTTTTAGAAAGGACACGAAACCTGACACGCACACAAGCCAGTTTATATAACTGAATTCATCAAGCGTCTTGAAAGGCCCTTGGGATGAATGACGGACGCTGGCCTGCGAAGGAAAATGTCAGGCGAGTGTTGGGGGGAAGGGGAGGGGGGGAGGGGGACATTACTCACGAGCAGCTACATTAGTGTCACTGCCCCGACGAACTGGGGGCAGAGGGGTAAGACCCGCAGCCATACGACGGGCATTGGTGTCCTTAACGGGGGCAGCCCCAGCAACAGCAATGAAGGCAACAGCAAAAACGGCGACGATGGCGCTGAACTTCATAGTTAAGGGTTGACGTGTGGCAAAGAGGTCGTGCTCAGGGAACAAGAGCTGTTCTGAGTAACCCAACCCCCACCTTTTATACCAGGGCCCATGAAAATATTAAAGTATAAAAATCCAATTCGTTTGGCTATATTTATGCTGTGATAATCAAATAGTCTTTTGAAATCGAAAATACGTCATTGATCGTCACGGCAAAGTACGATGACATGACCGATGGAACGTGGTCCACAACAAAAGGAGGTCAATTCGGTGATGACCGTCGTTCATAATTTTAGTCCCCAGAGAGAGCATCAAGTTCTGTTTTTGCTTCAGTGTGTAGGAACGATTTGGGTTTCTACGGACAGCGCGGGCGGGGCGCGAAGACGACTCTCGGGTGAAAAACTGTGGCTGATAAGGAGGTGCCTGAGAATCAGCCCATTTAACGAGCTGCGCAAGAAGGTCAAAGAAACGTTGTCAACCATGTGCGTCAAGCACGGAGGATTAAACCAGGGCTCCTGAGAAGCTCCAGTCCCACGCGAGAGTCGTGAAAATTGCGGTCTTCATTATGAACAAGGCTGCGGCCCGCATACAATATTTAAATCGAGGGTCTATGTTTTCAAGCTAGTGCTGGCCAGCAGCGATGCGGCAAATTCTCGGAAGTCCTGTTTCGAGCAGGACCTTCCTGGCTGTTAACCCCGATGTGTCAGTCGGGTCAGATAACGGCAAGGAGGGGAGGGGGGGGGGAGCCATACCTTGAGCGCGTAAACAACGACCTCGCGAGCCCACTGTTCAACTGGAACGTCTTCCCGTTCAATGGTTTCAGCTAGGATGACACGAAGGGAACTGTCTTCTTCATCGAAGATGCACTTGACGGCGGGGGTGAGGCGGACATTCATCGTTACCTGCCACAATGGGTCGCGGCGCAGGACTGCGCTCACCGTCAGTCAAAAGACTATAGAGCGGAAGAGAAGTGAGCTTACGCAGTCTCTGATTTTGAGATGTCTTATTGGAAAGCAGCTTGACATGTCCCAGCATGCCAGAAGTAAAATCTCTCTCCCCTCGCTTGATGTATAGCCTCACGCCCTTAATATCGCTCGCTACTTCTTCATCTTCTTCTCCGGTGAGATCTATACCTAGAGTCAACCTCGGACATTAATCTGGAAGAGAAGCTAACATACGAGGTACGGTTGACTCTCGAGGAGCCTCGGTTGGGGGACCCAAAGGCCGATCAATCGTTGCGCGATCTGTCGTCGAATTGACATTTTTGTGAGACCATATTGACGTCGTACTAGAACCTGCTTTGATAGTCTTGAAAGGCGAGACCGTGCCAGAGTACGATGCGAAGCCGCCGCCAGTGGACTTGATAGGCTGCAGAGACAATGAGTTTATGTGTAAATGTCAGCAAGAATATGATGAACGTACGCTGCGCCTGGGCTTCGAGAGCATGGGCCGCGGGATGACTGGCTTCGTAGCCTCAGCCTTCAAGGCGACGGCCGGGGCATCCTCGACAGCATCAAGGGAGGCCCTATCAGAAAGTTTCGTAGGCCCAGAGCTAGCCTTGGTAGTCGCTGCTGCTTCTTCTGTGAAAAGAGGCGCTTCGAGGCTGTTGGCTGCTTCCTGGGCCGTATCCTTGTTCGTGGTGTCGACAGCAGCAAATTCGGCAACCGGCGCACGATCTTGCTGGGAAACATCAGGGTCCACAGACACACGCTCGTCTCGCTATCAGGAGATTAAGCGAGGAAATATGTCATGAAAACATACTTACCTCGTCATCCTCATCAGAAATAGGCGGGGTCCTATTCCGCTTATTGGGGTAAATAGATGACAGGTTCTAGTGACGACCTTTTAGAGCTGCTGCCTTATCTTCCGTGGGCTGCCTTACATGCGGATATTCGAGATCCTAGCGACAAGCTGATAAGCAGAGAATCCAGTAGGCGGATTGGAGAAACACACATTATTGTTCTCGTCATGGTCATGCATTTGTTTGCGCTTCAAAGAGATTCGCCGAGCGGAATCATTACTATTCGCATCCGCTGGGCTTTCTTCCACTGACTCTTCACCTTGCTCCGAGTCAGGGACATCGTTGCGATCCGTAGTTGGCGTCCTATGAACCTTATGAGCGCTATTAGCCTAATGCATCGAAAGTATAACGTACTGAACTGAAAGCCTCCGAGAGCAAGCATATCCCACGGAAGCTGCAATTGTAGCCATTCCACAGACGACTACCTTGATATCGGATAATGGAAACAGTAGCATAGAGGCTATAGTGTCGAATGTGTTGCTGAAGAATGTAGTAGAAAGAAAGATACCCTGACGTGACTCGAAAACAGGAGGATATTAGAGGCTAGTGCCTCATTGTTTGCGTTCCGCTCGAACATGAGGATGATAGCGTTTTGGCCTCGTTGTCCGCTTGCAACTAGCCGGCATTTGGACAAAACGTGGCCACATCGAGCCTCTTCAGAAATTGACCCTGCAATGATAAGAAATCCAATACCAAAGGTTCGATATTAAGCGACAAACCAGAAGCATGCAGAAATAACTATTTCCCCCTCCCCTCTCCCCTTCCCCTCTCCAAGACTCCCGCTGCGCAGACATCACAGCCTGTATGTCGTGGCTCGACCATCGCCAACCTTAAAAATAGATAAAACACCACGCTGTGAGCGCGAGCATTGCTTTGTGGGGGAGCGTGTCTTGGTCATGATGTCGCTGGTTGCGCGCATGCAGTTTCGCATTTCATAGTAGGCCACGGGCCCGACGCTGGTGATATCGAGTTGAGCACCGAAGATAATAATAACAGATACCGCGCAGAGCAGTTTATCACTCACCGGTCACCATCTATCAGCACTCCCTGACTCCTTATCATCTGATGTATGATGCATATGGACCTATAAGCTTTAAGCGGAGCCCTAAGCCTAGAATTAGAATCGTAATGCCTCCTGGAACACAAAAGTCAATATTTTGTTGTATAAAGATGTTGTTGACACCAACCTAGGATTTGTTGGCGAAGTGGATGATACATAGCAAAATGTAGATCAAAAGGAAAGAAGATCAACCACGCAAAGAACGTGGGACTGTTCGGACAAGTCGATCCGCTTTATTCGCCGTTCCGAGTCCGATGTGCCGACAAGCCAACCAAGTTCAACTTGGACAGACTTTCACATCTAGACCAGTACAAAGGGACATCCATAGATAAGTGGTTTCTTTTCAGTTGAATTGCAGCTCATGGGGTCAAGAAAATGTGTAAAGACGAAGATTCTGGAGGATTCAGAGAAACTTCACCGAGTACGACAGACTGTGATCAAGGGAAACATCGAGTGTACATGTTTTCCTGTAGGGCGAAGGGAATGTCCAAGGAGAGTCAGTCGAGACACCGAGTTGGCTACATCATTCATTACAGATCATAGATGGACTCTGTCATCGTTTAGATATATGCCCTCTATCGATAGTCATATACGGAATTGAGAGTTGATAGGGTGCCTATACCTTCGAACCTTACAATTATCCTCCAGCCGTCTTACCCCGTGAGAAGTAGCGGTTTTTGTGCCACATCGAGTGTCGAGTATGACGACATCTACCCAGAAATGGAGAGGATTGCGTGTCTTCATCCGAATATCCATTTAATATGGCCTTCAAAGGTGGACCATGATGCGGGGAAGCCTCTGTGGGCGGTTGAGAGGGCAGTCGAGGTGTTTGAAACAGGAAGGGAGTGAGATGGGATGGCGATGAACAAACTGAGATGGGTATGTGGTGGCACTGAGTGTTCTTCGCACCGCAGGACCGGCGCGCCCTTTGATGGTAATTCGGATATCAAACTAGCAAATCATCAACTGAGGAGCTTTAGAATAACGCTAATAATGAAACCGCTCTAATCTGTAGTTATGATCACCCACAATATATTTAAGAATCTAGAAATTTATTCAATTTGCTTCTTTTGAATGGACGCCTCTTCTTCACTTTTTCTGGCTGTGGTATCTGTATGCGTATCCGCGTCCGACATCTGATGAATGTCAGCTAATATATTTCTCGACGACCCACAGGAATAACTAACTCACCTGGAGGACCTCCGTACGAGTAAGGACCTGAATTGAATATCTACCCGTGAGAGTAGGTCTTTGGGACCGCGAATGCGTCCTGGAGGTCGCGTTATCATAGTAGAAGACACGAATGTCTTTCCGGGCATTGAGGGTCCACATCATACTGATAGCATACAGCTTGGGTAGAGCCTGGTTAAATGTGGTCGAGACTCTAGGTTTGCCCATCGGAAGGTAGACGCAGATCATGGTGAGAAGGGCACTACATCGGAGTGAGTGTGGGACCAGGCAAGGCATCATTCCATCGTTGCTCACCATATGACGGCAGGCATTGCTGTTTGGAACGTGAGTCGTACCAGGGCGTTGATCATGCCTTTAGTTCTAACGTGCGTGTCAGATACATTAAAAGTAATTTCGACGACTTGGATACTAACTGTGGCAGAACATTCCTTCTGGTTTTCAGGAGGAAAAACGCTGTTGTTGCGGCCAGAAGCACATCTGCGACTACAACAAAGTGAGTCAAGGCGCGTAGAAAAAGGATTGCACCTACCAAAGACAGTCGCGAAATGAGCAGACACTAACAGAATAAGAAATTAGCTGGGCACATCGGAGATAAAATGTGAGAAAGTGCCCACTCCAGTAGGGCAGGGAACCGTTGAAGTGAACAATATCTCGTGTCTAAAGCAGTGAGAACTATTCTTCTGGCATACCCGAATACTTACAGTCAATACGGCGGCGATGATAGCAAATATGCAGACCAGCACGATGGGCAGAACTACCCACCACCTCTCCGATATGACCCACAATCTATAGCAATAATAACATTGAACGTAAAAACTGATGAGGGCGACCATCAATGGATTGCCTGCTTTTCGATTATTTATCAAGAAAGACGACTCGAGCGATGTACGACCGACCGACTTCGTACCACGCCGTGGTTCTTAAAGAGAAACAATCAGCCATTGGGAGTCTCGTAGGAGCCCGACCGCGTACAATAATTGACCAGCACTTTGGATATCTGCAAAATCTTCTATCTGCTGGACCCAGACGATAGCACTTTACCCGCCAGGTCAGTTCTCTCTTGCAGACTCGGACCACGACAGTGAAAAACGTACAAGCTCTAGATTGTCGACAAGTCAGGCTAAAAGTTAAAAAAAAAAAAAAGCTCCCCAAAGAGAGGCAGCCGACTGACCTGAATTGACTTGAGCGTCGTGATCAAAGCAAGAAACCCAACGGACGCGCGAACTGTCAGCTTGTCCGTCTTTCCATACCACGAAACGTAATTCAACATCTGCAATGGATTATTAGTGGTATGCCGATATGGTAATGACACCTGCTCGAACCTGAGCAGACAGGATGCCCTGGAGGTACAAATCTAAGCAAAGCCCGACAAGCTGCAGTTCTCAGCATCGGATGGAGCGACGAAATGCAGAACCGCTTACTTACCCATGGACCGAGAAGACTGCTTGCGCTGCTTAGTGGCATGCTCATAATCCAGGGCTGTGGTGGGGGGATGGATACAAACTTCTTCCTTCCTTCTCCCACAGCATTTTTATATGCTGTAAAGACGCCAAGTCCCTGGCCTCGATGACGATAAGCCTTTGATACCGTCACAATACTCCGTTTTATATTACCACGAAGCCACGAGACATACGGGCCTCGCAACCGCTGTCATCTCAAGCAGGTGGTGGGTGCATTAGGGTCCGAAGATCGTCCAGTGGGAAACGCGGTCACTTCACCCCCAGGTGGTGGAGCGTGGAATAGTATCGAAAGGGTTTCGGCGACCACAGAAGCCGACCTCACGCCTACGTGAATATTGAAATACGTTCCTCCATTTCTTTCACACGAATTCAAATCCCTGAATAGTAATATTTTACCGGACATCTTCTAATCCCCACGATATCATGCGTTGCACGTTCTAACTGGTCTGAGAACATCTTGTTGGCATAAGAGCCTGTGATAGGGGGTCAGAACTTGGAAACAATTGCTAGTTAGGAGTCTGGCAATGAACATAGAGGTTTGGGGATGGTCGGACTATCTCCAGAAGTATATCAATTCAGTTCGATAGAAATGGAGAAGGCCATGCGTATGCAATGAATATGAAAATATTGTATCTCCTCGCGCTCTGCCTGGACGCAACTGGGCCCTAATACGATCCACCAGAAATCTAAGCCCAACGTCAGCACGGTCTTCCGGTAACACAAGAAAGAGATACAAACAGTAGCGTCATCACTGGAGACAGTCCCAGCGGAGCCACCAGTGACCGTCAACTTGGAGAAGTCCCATGTCCTGTAAAGAAACATGTTCAGCACCAGCAGCTCTGACGATTATAAAGACCACTGAATTTACCCAGAGCAGTTACCACAGTCGATAGTCAATCGCTTCGCGTTGTCTCCGACCCTAGGAGTGCATGAGAAAGGGCCCGAGTCTGCGAGGAGGACGGCTTACTTGACTGTAGTAGCTGTGCCGGTGAAGCTCACACCCCTGTAAGAGAATTCATCAGACGACAGACTGATTCCATGCAAGCAAGAGGGACTCACGAAATGGGACCGCCAGTTCCGGGAGTGCCAGCATCATCGGGGTACGACTGAGAGATCAAGACGCCGTACTTGGTAATACCGCTGATGGTGTTGCTATAAGAATGGGTTAGCAGGTCATCTCGGAAGGAAGACCAGGTCGTATTCACCCAGAGTACGTGATGCCCGATACTTTGGCACTTGTAGCATCCGCTTTGACTTTGATTCTACCAGCGCCGGCCGACATCAGAACACCGAGCGAGGGAACAAGAACCACTGTCGTACCTAAGCCCATACATAGAGTTCGTAACAGTGTTTCCAGAGATAGTCACGTCAGTAACCGTCTTTCCAGCGGATATGGAACCAACAGAAATGCCATGACCGCCAGAGCACTGGTTGTTTTGGAAACTAGAAAGGGTGGTTGAGTGACATGTTTCACTAATAGGAAGACGGTTGAAAGACCTACACGATGTTGGAGCCGGAGTTGATAGCAATACAGTCATCTTGGTTCTTGACGATCGAGTTTTTGATTGTGACATCGTCAGCGGAAACGTCGAAGCCCTATACACCCGATGGATGCTCAGCCTCACTCATTACATGGTGGTTCACACTCACGTCGGTATTATGACCCAGACTGTTTGTGTCTCCAGCGCTGTTATCGACCTACGGATGGCGTGTAAACCTACAGAGACGTGAACAAGAACATTTGCACGCACAGTGATGCTGTCGAAGGTGAGTCCGTCGCTGTTACCGATAGAGATGGCTTGCGCGGGGCTGTTCAAGACCTATCGCTCGTGTCAGACTTATCCAGAAAGAGGGAAATGCAAGTCCCACCGTAAATTGAGAGTAGGTCCCGGAGCCCTTGAACCTAGATGCTGGTTGAGAACGCTTGGATAACAATCACTGTTGATAGGTAAACTTACTTCAAGAGGGGATGAGGCTTATCGACACCACCATTCGTGCCTTCGCCGTCCCAGTATGAGGCGCCGTTTCCCTGTGGAACATCAGAAAGGTGAAGGCGCGAGAAAGTGGCCCGACTTACGTTGAACTTGTATCCCGCACCCTTGAACGTTATGCTGTCGCCATCAATAGTGAACAACGGGCCTGAGCCTATGAAGGAGAAGACGCGTTTCGCGGCTGCACTGGCTTTGTCATGAATGATACGCACTGGTCGTCTTTGCGAATGTAATATCACCAGCCATGGTAACAGTCGCGCTAGACTTGGGCTATTTGTATAATGGATATCTGAGCCTTGCGAGTCAGATTCAAAAAGGTAGGGGATCTTACTGAGAGCGTCAGGGTGCCTGTGAAGTACCTGTCAACACAATGCGACGACGAGAAGATGCTGTTGACTTACTTCCACTTGGTACGGTGAACGCCTTGATAGTGACTGAGGAGCAGCTTGATATCGAAGAGGCAGCGGAGACAGAGTCAACAGTGCAGCTCGCGCGCGCTTCAAGGTCCTCTGTTGGTACGGCAGACACGAGCGCGAGCACAGCGGCGGTGAAGATGAACTGGTAGAAAGCGTGTCCAAACATTTGAGCGAGATGTAAAGAGAGGCAAAGGATGTTGGCTATCCTGCCATCGAGGACCTGCTTTATATACCACGGGCTGGATGAACCACGGAGGTTTATCAACTTGAAGTTGGTACTCAAAATACAAAAAAAGGAGACGCCAGGGTTGCTGAGCTGCTGATTTGCGCCAAGACATTGTGGAGAATTTCCGGTCGTCAGGTATTCCGGTGTGCTTCGAACTGGCCCAGGGCGACATCCTTCTAATACCCACAGTTAGGTCACCAAATACTACAGTACTAGTGTTAAAGCTCACCATCACTTTATTCGCTGTCTGGAATCCGTTGCACATGTCTGCTGGAACGGCAGTCCTTTTCCGGCACATTTTCCATAAATTTGCGGACGTTGTAAGCTCCAATTAGGCGTTACGTTCAAGCTTCAGGGAGATCAGGTTTTCCCTGCAGTTAATTGTGCCTATCTTGAGAGATGATCAGAGCACCAAGACTAACCCAAACGGCTCTCAAACTTCAGCATCGCTTAGACGGCCTCTACGCACAGAATAATGTCACATAACCTCTCCACGTCGTCCATAGGCGGCGATGTTTTACATATCCGACCAAAGTACGGGCAGTTTTGACCGTAATTTTGTCTTCAAAAATTTGCAGACAACGAAGATGACGCGCGGCCCGTTCACCATTTCCCGACAAATTTCCGATTGTCAGAGTATCGGGGATAGTTGCCCTTTCGGTTGGCGATCTTTTCAACTTTCAAGGCGTCAAGATCGCCTCGAAGAGAGAATAAGCGAAATAAGCGAGGCGGGTTCCTAAAGCCACGGATGTTATCGTATGATGCCTTGTCTCTGATACACGGGAGCTTTTGTTATTCATTGGGATCATGGGTACAATAGATGGGCAGTCGTACTCACCACATCTTCACAAGCGCCAGCAATACATGTTAGGTGGCTAATTTCTGATCATAGGTACCCATGGTGCATTTATTTCTATCCTGAAAAAGTTGCAACGATACCGACATTTTCTTCATCGAGACCAACATGAGATCCGTTGACAGAGAACAACAAGCGCACCCATAAGACAGATGCCAAGCTACCGTCGATTTTCCGAGCTTGTATCGCAGCATACTCGCAAGCCAGTGACGGGCGTGCTTGAAGTACAGCATAAGCTGCCATGAGATGTCCGACCGGGATATTCTCATTCAACGCGGGCCGGCCAATCCCTTCAGCACCTCAGCGACGGTCCGTCTGTGAATCGCGCTGGCAGTGCACCTCACCGCTCCTAGTGGTCGAGCTATTGAACTCGGCATCAGCTGACAGAACACTTTTTTTGAGAGACTTGTCAAGGTGGTAATCCCGGGACATCTTCTTCCGAGGTTAGGGACGACAATTCTTTCAGAACGTCAATATTTGGCATTCCTCGTGCCAGACCTCACGACGAGGCGAAGCTTGGGCATGCGGATAGCACCAAGGTCGGTAAAGGCGAAGGTTATCATTGGAAATTTGTTTGTGCGAATGTGAGTGTAACTGGTCGCATTGAATAAACGTCATTGATCGTCTTAGTTAGTAGAAAACTGCTATTCATATAAATCCTTGCACGTAGATTCTACGGAGAGAAGGTGAGTTCGTATGGAGTATTGATTTTGATAACCTTGAAAGAGCTCACCATGATCATCTACGACCAGTACCAACCGAGTAACCTTCTCATCAACGATGCGGGTAGGATCTTTCAATCCACCGTGCCTACAAAAAGTCGGATATTTGTGACTGGCAACGGCGCACCATCCAAAGCGATGAAAGAGAGCAGCAGTGACTTCCAGTCTCAAGTCAGGTCATCGAAAGAACAGACAAGACGGTTTTCCGTATGACCACCTCAAGCCCACCGTCCTGTCCCAACCTGGCAGACCTAGCTGGAGAATGGTCTTGAATCCAACTTGAATCAGAGTTCTGGATACTTAGTGTCTTCACTCGCGAGGTATTGTGGGAACGCAACGGGACGAGTGGTAAATAGGTGTAAGGTCCCTAGAGAACGCTGTTGAGTAGATGTCACTGAAAATCCGAAAATCTGAGGACCAACCTCGTAGCGTAACCCATCGTCGACAGTGTCAAGAGTGTATCCCAGTCACGCGGTGAGACCATCACAGAACGCGAAAACAGCTTCATGACACGCTTTCAGTTCAAATAAACGAGTTCTACGACACATTGAATGGGCGTACACAAGCAGAGAAAGAAAAAGCAGCCATTTACTGCTCCGACATCACCATGATCGCAATGCCAAACAAACAAAAGTCGGCTCCTTCCTCCTCCAGACGCTACACTCCGCGAACGAATGCCAGAGCTTGTCAAAGACCTTACAGCGCTCGTTTTCGGCCCAGAAACTACTTTGTTGACCTAGGCCGCAACTGGTGCCCGATGAGTTGTGGTTGTTGATGAATAGGTCGGCATAAAGGCTGTTGTCAAAATTAAGGAAGGCGCTGAGGATATACTGAAGGAGGTAGAAAGGGAGAACTCGCTAATAATCGCCCTGTGGCATCTTCGAGGTTCGAAAGAGCATCGTCGAGAGGGCAAATTAATTGTACGTGTACATTTTTCGGTCGATATCAAAAATAACAGCTTTCTTGGTTTTCTTTTAGCTATCATTCGCATCCTGCATTTGACATTAACCGGATACACCCTTGTATCAGCGCATACATTCAGACGTTGGACCGTATCAGCAGCCAGACCTGTCAGCGCGACAAGAACCTGGGAATCGCTCGCCGTGTTCTAGCGTTGAGTCAGTTTGCATTTGGCTTCAGCACGCGCGCCCTGTCGAATCTGGTACTGAATTCGGAAAAAGAGAACATTACACAGAATGATGTCCCTCGCTTGCTTTGCGTCGGTCTTATTGCGGTAGAGCCAGTACCACACGGTGTCCACTGAGAATGGTACGGTGGAGACTGGATAGGATATATCTCCTACCTTCTTGGAGCTCATATGTCAGTCAATTTTTCGTTTGATACGTTGTTAGCAAAGTCTGACTTCAGCTTATACAGAAAATGCCATTCAAGAACATTGCGAAACCGCAGAAAGAACAGAAACTAATAAACACAGCTGAAAAGTCAGCGCCCGACACCTCAAAGAGTCACTTTCCTGCCCTCTTTCGCGCTGAGGGCTATGGCATCTATTACCTGATGGATTTTCAGAGCATCGTCAATCGTCGCATGTGTCCCCTCCTTTCCTTTGGCAAACTCAGCCCATCCGGCAGCCAAGTTTCCCATCAGCCCAGCGCTTTCCACCTCTACAAGCTCTCCATTCAAATAGAGCTTCGGATCCCGAATGTTCACGAAAGCGGAGCTCATTTGATCATCTGTCAACCGGATAGAGCCTTCCTCTCCATCAATCTCCCATAGAAGTTGTTGTCGGCCTTGAGTGGCAGCAACGCCTCCACGCCAGACCTCGCTGACAAGGACACCGGATTTGAATGCCCCAATGAAGGAGATGTGGTCGGCTGCTGTGTTAGCGGCTGTTTCGAGGACGTTGCCTTCGACATCGACGACCTCCGCTGTAGGATAAAGGATTGCAGCAGATGCGCTGAGATAGCTGAGGTCACCGAATATGTAAGTTAGGATGTCGAGATGATGGCCAATAGCGATGTCCAACATAGAGGACCCTATGCAACGATAAGTACTGTTATAACGCGAGCGGCCTCGGACATACCTGCGGATGGGTCAAATGTAGTGGCAGCATTTGCTTTGTTAATTCGCAGGCCCCAGTATCCCATCTCTCTGGGTACTAGGCCAACCTTATCGATGGTCAGCGGATCTTTGACGGCATCTTCAGCATACACAAACCAGAGACGTAGAAAGAATATTTCCTATTCTGCCAGAGTCGATAATTTCTTTGACCTAGGATCGGAATCAGTTATACGAATACATGTACCACCCACTTCAAAAAACCTTCTTCACAACAGCAGAGTGCCGCCCCTGGAGCCCAACCATCGATCGCAAACCCTTCGCATGAGCTTTCTCTGCAAATTCCAACGTTTCCTTGGTGTTCCTTCCAGCCGGCCATTCAATGAAAAAATCCTTGCCGGCATCAAGGACTGGGATGAGTGCGTCATAATGATTAGGCGACCGGACGGAAACTGCGACGAAATCAACATTAGGATCGGCAGCAATTTTGGACGTCGAGCCATAGTACGGCGTTACAGGATGGCCTGCTTCTTCGCTTTGTTTCTCCGCCGATGCCTGGGAAGACTCTGGAGACGATGTGGATACGGCCGTGAGGCTGTATTTTCCATTCTTGAGCAGTGTCGGGGCAAGCAGAATGGACGCCCAGCCTTGCTTGGAGAGACCGACGAATCCGACTTTGATTGGAGCAATCATGGAAAGAGTTCAACGAAGAGGGGCAGTGAAGATGATGGTTTTTTATAGCGAGGGTTACTCATCCATGATTAGTCCCAGGCGATCCAAGACATATGTTCAGCCCCGTTATAGCCGCCGGCAGAAATATTTTACCGCCGGCAGCACCTGTCTAACAAATCTGCATCCGTGCATCCAAAACTCCTGTGTTGCTGACCTGTAAATTGAGGGAATTTGGGTTAGGAGAGGATCCTGCTCAAAGTTTCGCAGCTTGAAGGGCGTCGTTCTTTCTCCTATTTCATCTGAGTCGTTGAAACACTGCCGGAACGCCTAAGCATCCTTTCACCGAGGCTTCTTAGGGCGTAGTCGGGGCCGGCATCCCCGTGAGACCAGTTTCAGTCCCACCGACGTGAGGAATCAGCCTCACATTCTGACGGAGAACATCGACATATGTTTAGGGGCACAGGAGCATGGGAACATTCTCTTTGTGCGGTAAGGATATTAATCGCTGTTTTTGTCACGTTGGTTTACTCTTCTCCCATCAGAGAAGTTATGGGATGGACGATTTAAGGCCCCTTCTACTTGAGATGATGTCTGACGATCCGTTCGCCATCTAAGGAGGCTTGACGAGCTCGTGTCCTCGAAGGACGAATTATGGCTTCTCCTTAAACATCCCCCCCAAAAACGGAATGCACAACGTCCTTGGATTGAGCCAGAAGATACTTGTATTTTTCTTCCTGAGTAAGACCATTCAAAGGAGCCACTGGTAAACCCATGGATGACAGAGACATGACCATCAAAGGCCTCTCGTCGACGATGAGGTCGCCTGTCTTGATTTTGCGCATCGTGAACATGCCTAACCCTTTGCCCAGGGACGAAGAGATACGATAGACCTTACCTCCCACCTCTTTCAGAGGTCGTGGAAACCCAGAGATGTGTTTGAGTTGTCGATTAAGATATCCAGGTATCAAGCATTGAGTTCACTCCCTAGGGAAGGGGACTTGCATGTGGGTCGAGAGATCATCATCCGGGTCAGGCTTATTTTCAAAGGCCCCAGGGTCATTCTCGTCGGGCGGAGAGGCGAAAGCTAAAGTAGAATCGGTTAAGGCTGGTATCAGACATCACACACAGGTGTATACCATTCGTGAAGTCGTCGTCAGTGTATCCCATCTTGTTCGTCACCTCAGCAATCTTCTTCTCTGGTTCCTCAGTAGACGATTCTTAGCTTACCAAATACTATGAGATTTTGTACTATGTACCTTTACCTTCCGTACGGTCCAGAAACTCTTCATCAGAAACTGTAGAATATCTTCAGTGATACGATAAGCATACGACGATGTGCACGAGATGCCTTCGGTGAATTTCAGGTCTTTCAAGTCATCCTTTGTACAAGCTGGAAAACTTGTGGGTTTCTTTGTCGTCGGCTTTGGAGTGATCTCTCCTTCTTATCCTATAAATAATCTGCCATTGTAGCTTTCTTCTCTTTTCTCTCATCTCTTTCCTGGCCAGCATCCACTGATAAGTCTTCCTTCTTCCCTGGCTTCCTTCAGTTCAGTAATATTTCTGAAGCCTTTGTTTACTTTCACCAAAAATCCAGAACCTAATGATGAAGCACTACCGATATCAATCAACGTTCTCGGTTATCGTACAAAGCATTAGCATCCATAGCGCGATGTTATTTCCAAGTACCAAGATCCACCGGGAACAATGTCCATCGATATCGAATGGGAACCGATGGGATATCATACTTGACTTGAGATACATGAAGGGTGTGAAGTGGTGACCAACATGAGGCCTTTACAGGTCGTGTCTAGGTAATTCTCACTTTCCCGCATATCGTGCCGGACTCAATTTGTAAAATTTTAACGTATACAGTTTAATTTATCTACGATGCATTACTCCCGCCTACACCAATATCCCATATAAGAAACATTTCCTAGAATGTGCTTAGCCTTTTCTGTATCTGCACGCTTTTGAGGACGTCTCAAATATGATGTATGAATAAGTCGATCCGTGAAGTCTACAGCGTTCCGCTACTACCACTTCCATTGTTCTTTCGAATGAACGAAACCAAAAAGGCATAGCTTCTCCCACTTTTAGCTCTCGTCTGACTGACAGAAAATGCCAGAAACTATGTGACGTCTCTCCTGCCTTGCCCATCGGTTAATATTCTTGTCTGAATGCTTTAGGCATCCTTATCATGCAAAACTATCATGCGTGTCCGGCATGGCATCCATACGTGGAATGGGTCAATCAGAACTATCGATGTCTATAGGTTGGATCATACTTCACATGAATGACTGTACCACCGGCACCTCTTACATCATCTTCCCCATCATCCACTAAGGCGACTTCTTCATAAGCTTCACCTTCTTGAACGGCTCGCCCTTATTCTAATCGTCTACCATACTTATCTACTACTTGGACGCGCTCTCACACAATGGAAATACACATGCGTCAACGACGTAGACAATTTGGGATTTTCTCGTGCTCCGGCCGAAAAGATAAAGGGTACAGCTGTAATCTGCGGTGGAAGGTAAAGGTAAATGATTGATCTTTCTGAATTTTCGTCGTGCTCTAATATTCCATGGTTAGACAGTGACGAAGCGAAACGTGTGGATTCCTGGAACCAGAAAAACATCCGGTCTTGCGTTATGCAGTGCGACTCCCTGCAAGGTTTGCGAATTATTACCTCTGAGGGATCGTTTGCTGAAGCACCGTGACAGGTGTCCAAGTATTCGTGTACAGAGGCTGTTGCAAACTATTCCGGGGATTTGAGAGCAAATGTAAAGCCTTGGATATAAAGTCAGCTAGCTTCATTTGGAAATCTAATTGTAGGTGTGCTAATGATTTGTTACATAGTGTTTGCCCGGGTGATTTTCGTACATCTACTTGGGGGCTGTGGACCATGACACCTTAACACAGAATACGACGGAGACCTTCCTAAAACCGTGTTTGTCAGTCGTCGGGGTCTTGAGACTCTGATTTGCCGTCTTGTACTCAGCGATCGGTATGAGAATATCAAGCAAATAACTGGGACTGCAACTGGAGTATCCAGCAGCTGCTTTAATTCTCAATACCTCGATCAAGTAACGATCCGGACAGGCCGGGGCATACGAACTGTCCAAGCCTCTATGGTCACGCGGGTAAGTGATATCCCCGGCCCAATTTCACAAGCGGCTGACCCGACATCATTCTCAGATTGCACAGGTCCTGCATGTGCTGGTATTAAATGGCTGAGGCGAGAAGGATTCGGGATAGCGGCTGAGTATCCGAGACGAAAACTTCCCCTTGACGAGCTCAAAATCGCATACGACCAGAAGATTCACTATTCGACGCTTCATTTCCATGTCCCGAAGGAAGTTGGGAAGCCCTTGCCGGGATTCCCGACTAATTATGATGATTGTGGACCCATTTAGAATTGCACAACGGATTATACTGTCGACCATCGAAGCATATACACACAACGCGTCGAGGGTAATTTTAGTAAGCATCCCTTGCTTGATACAACTTCATGTTTCACTGACGCCGTAAAGTCAAAGTATACTGTGGTGCCTGGGGTGATATGGACCCGCCTCAAACTGTTGGAAGTCAAGCACTATGTACGAGCGATGATCACCAAGAAACTTATTCCCGATTGGTTTTCTGTCTTGATATCTTAGACGAAATCGCGTCCGCATTCGTGAGTCATGCCGGTCATCCATCCTCCATGGTCAGGAAGTACATTATTGATCTAACTCAGATATGCAGCACCGATAACTTACACGCGATTTGAATACGCAGTCAACTTGCCATCCAATTGGGTGGCCATTGGCGACAGTGTGACGAGGGTGAACCCTGTCTTTGGGTATGTTCCGCATCGCCCAGTGTCTGTCTACCTTATTCATTCTCATCATAGACAAAGTTGTACAAAAGCTCTTTTAGGCGCAGTATGTCTGAATACAATGCTTGTAGGCGTTAAGACGACCGTTGCGCTTCCTCAAAATTTCTCTAAGATGTTCTTCGAAACACAAGGCGCTAAAATCGCTCCTCTCTGGTAAGTTTATCGCGTATGCGCGTGAGGTCTTAGAAGTGAAACTGTCATTCAGGACCGACGTGAAGGCCGAAGATTACGGATACGAGACGACCATCCCTGTTCCTGAGAGTACCTATCAAAGGGGTAATTCCCCCGGTGATATATTAGGAGGCTCCACATCGTCGCATTCACGGTATGTTGATTTCTTCTTCTGCTATGAACTTCGAAACGAGCACTCAGTTGGTGGTAGGACAAGCAGGCCGGTTCGTCACTGTGGCATGTAAAGATGTTTTTGGCGCCACACATCAATAACATCCAGTTGGGGTTGGTGCTGAAGATTGCATGGAATTCATTAGAGATCATTGGGCTTGACAGATACGAGTATTCTGTGATCTTGGTGGCGGAGGATTGGGTTAAATAATTTATTGTGTTCAGGGTGTCTCTAAATGGCATGGATTATAGCAAACGTCGAAATATTTCCAGGCAATATCTAGATCCAAAATACATTGAGAAGTTCATTGGGGCAGAAACATTGGCTGTTGACCATACAGATTCATATGCTGGGAGCAAAGAAAATCGCTCTGAGGCTCTGCGAGTATCAGTTAAATCTCTGGCCATCATTTGAAGAAATCGCGTGCTCACAAAATAGAGATCGAGCATGCGTGAACCTTTCCAACCACCGAGGTTTGGCGCGGAATCCATACTCCTTCATAATTGTCATGATCCACTTCTTCGTGGGAACTCCCCATCCCTGATCAGGGTCCTTGCTCGCGATCGCCAGCACCCACAGGCATTCATAAGCCGGTGAGTTTACAACCTGGAGTCTCACGGCGATTATCTCGGCTCTGATACCTGCCTCTGCGAGTGGTCGCACGTAAATGTGTTCCGCTGCAGTGACGAGATCGCATACTTGGCGAACTTGTGTGCGGTACTTCTGTGGCTTGAAACATTTTTGTACGCGTTTGGGGTCGATAGGAAACCCGAGAACGAATTCTTCTTTGCCAAACGATTTGGACCTGATGGGACCGGAGGGGGAGGAAAGCCTGGAGCAAGGTGGTATATGTTAGCACGGTGTTTTTGGTAAAGGGAGCTATGGGCGTACGTATTGGACATCAATATCTTAGCAAGCGATGATTAATTGATTGCCAGTGGCAAGAGGATAGAGAGACAAGTAGCTGGCGATGGCACGAGCATGTACGTCTAGCCGAGACCCGGCATTGCTCTATTTGTGTAACAATGCCAAGCATTGTTTTGACAAAGTGTGCCAGAGATTTATAGGGTTACTTTTGTTTCTTCTATATGTCAACGCTGTGGTAGAGTCGCATGGAACTTGACAGACCGCTTCTACCAGAACTTCTTAAGCTTCAAGTCCAGAATGCCACTATAGACGTTGGGGATAGTGTAATTGATCTATCAGTTACAAGGAGACTGCGAGACTGCTCATATACAATAGTGTGGCACAATACGCAACTCAGGATGATTCGTCATGGGAGCTAGCAAGAGCCCATCAGTACACCACATAAGAAAGGGATCAGAGGGACTGGTGGTTAATTATGAAACGCGTTTCGGTCACGGGATCGATTTCCGAACACCTGATTCGGGGGCTCTGTCATGTCAGATACATTGTGCTGGAGACGGTTTCCTCCATCCCTCAAAATGATCACAGAGCTAAGAAGAACTCGTTTCAGTATGCGAAGATTGCAACAATCATGCAGACATTCAACACTGCATCAAAAGATCACTTACCTATACCATTAGGTACTTCTATACATTTCACAGGGAGCACGCGGAAAGAAAAACTCTCAGAGCATTGAGCTTTACATCTTTATGGGCGATTGATATGCTGCTAGACGTATAATTTGTTTATGTGTAATGATGAGAAGAGAAGAGACGGCAACATGATGGAATAAAGTGTATCTCTAACAGACGCTGGTATTATATCTCTGATCTGATCTTATCTCATCATTACACGGCACGGCACCTTCAGGCACTTTGTGAAACCGTTTCAGATCATCACTGTGGAAAGATGGAATATATAACATGATTCGCCATGAACTCTTCTCCAATACAACTTCTTCCCTTCCTTCCAACCCAACATGCCTGACCTCGCTACCGCCAAAGCGTCCAATGATAAATTTTCCCCTTCTTATATCCCTGTGGCGGTTATTGTGGGGGGAACATCTGGGATAGGGGAGGCGATGATAAAGGCAATCGCCCACTATACAGGAGGGAAGGTCCACCTCATCACCATTGGCCGCAATCGCACCGCAGCCGAGAAGACCTTCGCTTCTCTCCCCACCGCCACAGCAGAGGATGGTAAACCCGTGCTACGAGAATTCGTGTTCTGTAATGCGGAGTTAATGGAGAACATCAAAACTACAGCAACAGATCTCTCTGCGCGTCTTACGAAGATCAACTACCTCATTTTGTCTGCTGGGTACGCAGACTTATGGTCAGGGAGGCAGGAGACAGAGGAAGGGATTGACAAGTTACTGGGGCTGCGGTATTATTCACGGTTCAAGTATACGTATGAGCTTTTGCCCTTGCTAAGGAATGCGAAGGACGCGGGGGAGGATGCGAAGGTCATGTCGATCTTGGCATCTGGACTGGGACGTGCTATTGATGTCAACGATCTGGGAATGAAACACTCGTACAAGGCATACAAGGCTACTTTGGCGAGTGGCTCGTATAACGATATCATGGTAGAAGTCCGTCTTGTTTTTTTTCTGCCATCTTTCCGCTTCCCTTATATCATTCCCAGGAATTCGCGAAGCGCAATCCCGAGATCTCATTCACACATATCTATCCTGGATTTGTCGATACACCAGGGACGCGGCCAACACACTGGGCTCTACGCCTTTTCACCCCGCTGATCGTTCTGTTAGTTTGGTTGGCTGCTATCTCGCCGCAGGAATCCGCAGAATATATGCTGTTTGCGCTGTTTGATGGAGAAAAGGGCTTCTTCCATCGCGGTTCTAAAGGCGATGATCTCGGGACGAAGGGGTACTCCTTTACGGATGAGGAGAAGAGGGCTGTTTGGGAACATTCAGTGGAAGTTACTCGGTGTGCATGAACGTTGGGACTGTTGATATTCTTGGATTCGGATTGGGGGCAGGTATGGTTCCTACAGGTTCAGGTTCAGCCCTCGTTTTGTATGAATGACCTAATGATGAGTAACATCGTTGAACGTTGAGGGTTTAGGGCTTGACTGTTCGCTTCGAGAATTTGATCAGCAGGACGGGCTGCGAGACGCTTCCTTTCCCTCTTCTACTGAAGGCAGGCCGTGCGATATAAAATCGTCATCGAACAACATCGCCACTCTGTGCTTTATTCCTATGTATCAGTGCACTGTAATCCCTACTTAGGACTACCTCATGAAATGATGACTCGGATATCCAAATAACTTACCGACAATGTTACCCGTTCAGGGACTTCTGAAAGATATCGGCGTTCATTGCCAAATATGGACATTCAGCTAAGGACAGTACTAATTTGCATGTCAGTAAACCCTTGATTCGATGATCAACACAATACGTAAATGTGCAAATAATACATGGATAACTACTTTCAACAATGGAACTCTGTCAACATATTTGTTGAGGACGACCTTCGCTTCTCAAAGAACATAAGTAGGTGCAACGGCGAAGAGGACTGTCACAATATAGGCCGGTTGTTTGTGCGATCGAGAAGAAGTGTATTAACTATAGCTAACACATTACTGTACGATGTAAACCGTTACTCTAATCGTGATTCGTGAAGTTGATAATCTACTCTAGTGCATCAACAGATAATTTCGTATCAGTATCAAAGGTGGCTTGGCCCGCCAAACGAGCCTCTCTCTCCAGTCTACCTTCCAGGTTAACCCCAATCTGTCGAATAACAAGCCAAGCAGGAACAAGACTGACGCCCCACAACCCAAAATTTATGGAGCTTGTTGGCAACGTTGCCAAAGCAGAGATAGAATTGAGACCGTAGCTGACGCACTGTGAAGCTGATTCTGTAGCACGAAGGAGCCCAGCAACGCGTGAAGCACCTTCGATATCGTCGACAACTGAAGACAGAAAAGTCAGCTGGGAGGATGTTGAAGGGTGGACTATAGGCTCACTGTGTCCCACGACCCAAAAGAGAAGCATATAGTTCAGCTGGAAACCTCCGACAAGGAAGAGATACAAAGCGAATCCCCTTCCGAATCCAGGGCTTGACCAATCGAGAACTACTCCAGTCTTCTGATATTCGTGCTAGATATTCATGAGCTTAGATCATATGGGTAGATGGAATACACAACGTACTTGTATAATCGTTGACCACGTCCACCAACACCCTTGAAGACCCAGGACTACGATAAACGCACTTCGAGCACGGAATTTAAGGGACAGTGTTGTTCGATCAAGGAAGCGCTTTTAGATGGAATGGCTATCAGCAAGCTGCGGAAGCGACAACGTATGTTTCTTACACCAAGAAGGTTCCCAAAAATGATGGCCACGATTGCAGAAAGGAAAGAACCCAAAGCACGCGCACGGACACTGAAATGCACTGTCGTTCTCCATCAGGTGTAGCTGACGGTATAAATTTGATTTGAGCCTACAGGTGAGGTATGTTCCATTGAATGCTTCGCTAAATACGGCTTGTGTAATCAGAGGAATGGTGAGAAGGAACTAAACGCCGCGATTAACAACGATACTCTGGGTGAGCAGAAGTACATACATTCTTGGAGAAGAACAATCGCAAGCTATCCCTGGCTTCGCGCTTTAAGTTGCTGTCTTTGATCAGATGTACTTGTGTTCCGTCCGTCCGCTGGACCTTCTCCGGAGAGGAGAGTAACCAAGCAGTGAAAGGACCAAGCGCCTCTACGTGGACCAAGTCAACAAGTGAAGAACGATACTGTTGATGACGCACGAAGGGTGATGAAAATGATGTAGACTTTTGGCGACACGGAACCAGCTTCCGAGCGATGTGCGTTGAGTCCAAGATTGATCGCACCGCCTACAATCTGACCACCGACGCGGAAGGAAAGCCAATATCCGATGAACTTGCCAAGGTTATGGGCCTCAGGATAATTCAGAGCCACAGCACCTTCGGCCTGTCATTAAATCGGTCAACTGACCCGCGGCCGCTGCCAATGGAAGCTGACGAACGCACCATCCAAAATACACCCGCACTGATACCACACAACGCCGCTCCGAACAGGACGAACCACTGAGTTCCGAATACGTTGTTGCAATAGAGACCAGCTGCGTAGGCTGAAGACATGTAAATGTTAGAGTGCGAGAATATGTTAAATGAAGGATGGACAGACGCGCGTAGCCAGCAGCACCGAACGACAAAGTGGCCCTAATACCAAATTTGTTCACCATCAAGCCTGATGTAGGTCTAGTAAATATCTCGGTTCAGAGCGTGAAGCAAAGCCATATACGTACTACCGAGGAATGCCGTTATGACCATGAGGGCAAAGGTCAAGGCGTTAGAGGCGCTAAAAGTTGATCAGCATTCCCCAATCGACCCAATCGTGACGGGACATACTTGACTAGATACGGTTCTGTAGTGGAAACGTTAGTCTACAAGGTCACGAATAAAACACATAAGCTTACTTTGCAAACCTCCAGCACCCAACGAGTTCATAGCACCCCATATCCCTGCATACGCTCGGCTAAGCGCTCTCGTAAACCCACACAAAAGAGGATACATACCAGGTGCAAGGAAATTGGTAATTCCAAGGACCGTAGCATTGAAAAAAGTCGATCGATACCAGTGAACCTTGATAGGAGTCGAATTGTGCAGCGTTTCGGACATGATGGTATGTTGATCCAAGGTCCCGAAAAGTGGTCGTCAGCTGATGAAGGAGGTGTCAGCGCGCTTCTTATACATAATGACTGGGTGAAGAATAAGTACCGGTTATCAAATTTGTGGACAACGATAGGATTTTGGCATTGACTTACATAGTAGCGCCATAGGCATGCGGAAAAAGTTGTGGATTGCGCCACCTGTGACGTTTTGGCGTGCTAATTGCGCTCGATGAGGCTTTAGTCTCGTAAAACGCAATACTTCAGAGAATGAAGCAGAGCGGATCTAAGAAACACCAACTAGTACTGAAAGAGTCATTCTGCGGGGACGACGGCATGAAGAATTTGTAGGGCGATATCAATAACGGGTGGGTCGCACAAGAGTGGGGATCCCTGTGATCGGCGACTTGTCACTGAAAGTTAAAGATTGGATCCTCACAGAACCTCCTAGGTATTGACCGCAGGAAGCGAAGTTCTGGCTCTCGGAACAATCCAGCGACTTGCGGCTGCTAGTACAGATTCAAACCTTCTCCCATGCCAGCGGCTAATCGACTCCAGTACAAAAGATATTTGGACATCTGAAATATATGTCTGCATAGAACCAGACTTGTCTGGTTCATTGTATGAGGCTATTTCAGAAGAGAGAAGGAGAAGAAGATCCACGAGCCACTGTGCGCCTTGCCATTCGTTTCATGGGCGGTTCAATTTTGGGTTTTTCTGAGTCGCGTTCGGCGGCCGCCGGCCCGGTATTACTGCGCCAAGTCTGGACTGGGAAACTTTGCTCTTTCTTATTCGTGCACATCTACTACTCTGCCCCAGATTACACAAATGAAAACCTATCCTACGAAATTCTGACACCTTGTGTGCAAAGAATGGCAACCGGGAGAAACCTTTTGCTTCGCCGCGGATGTCCAAATATATACTGTTTTCATGTGGTACGAGCGATCGTAGGGAGGGATGGGTTGCGGAAGCAAAGCCAAGAACAGGATAATTGTATTGAAACCCGGAGAGGACGGAGAAGTTGCGATAATGGACTCTAGAGCGTCTTTGGCCATGTCAGTTAGAGCAAAAGCCGTAATGGTGCAGATATGGTCTGCACTTGAATCGGAGTGAAGTCGTAGAGCAAGTTGATAACGGGTAGCCGCTTATCTTTCTCAACCTTCCCGTCAAAGGCTTGAGTATATTTGTAATCGATTGTGATATTAGGAACCGGTTACAAGACTGATTTCTTATAGTAAGCCATATGAGTTGTGAACTTATATGAGGTTGAAATGTCACCCTACAGCGAGAATGTAAGTATATATTTGATAAATGCTGGACAGCAGACTGGATTTCCCTGCAGGGAATCCGGTGCCGGTCTTCAGCGCGATATCTTCTCATCAAAGATGACCCTACATTTCACGCCCTTGGGAGTCTGATAAAGTTCCACAGAACCTTCATCAGGAGGCTCGATTGCAACAAATCAATCGACGGTGCAAGGAGCACCGAAAGTGCCATATGGCCGAACTTGCTTGAGCGTCCTATCAAAAGTATCAAACACTGTAGAAGCCACGGAAAGGCGTGCGCATACCGTGAAGGAGAGTATCGTCAGTTTCTTCATATACCAACGAAGCCATGAACCTTCTGAGAACGTCTCACCCGGAATGGGCACTGTTGACGCGAATGCGTAGTCTAGACGCGGGATGAATTAGTAATCTACGATTGTTGTGTCTAAATCATACGTACCGGCGACTTTCGTTGTACTCCTAAGAGTGTAGCTGATGAGTAGCAGTCAAAATTTGGAGAATAACGAGTGCGTACCAAAGCGGCTCAATCTTGGCTGCGTGCATTCGAAAGTGCCTTGGCGAAAAATCCTTAAGTATCGACGATTCTACTTTTTGCGGCGGCTTGTTCAGGCATATAGCGCCATACGTAGCTTTCGAGCATCCGTGCCTGAGACACAGCATAAATTGACAGAATGCGACTAGTAAAAGTCGACGCACCCATGGAAAGGATTGGCCCTCATGACACTGTCCCTAGCAGCAATCTAATTCGGCAGTGAATTGACACCCTTCTCGTATTGAATCCGCGTCGACGACGCTATAAATGAAAACTGCTTCAGCGCTGGCTCCTCGATCTTCAGGAGAACCATGCGGACCGAAACGCACTTGGCTACATGTCTTACTATCTTGTACCTCCTCCAACATATCCAACATTGCGAAAAATCCCTCAGGGATGAGTGCTTTAATGATCAAACTTCGAGTCCACGACTTTGCTTCTCCGAGACTCTTGGGTAGTTCGGTGACATCTCCGCTAGAGATACTGAAACAGATTTGCACTACACATAGCAATTAGCAACTCAGTATCGCGAAGAAAACCACCTACTAAAGTCCCCACCGATCCGCTGAGAATCTACACCTCGGTTCTCCTTTTCAGGATCCGCAATCAAGCAGTAGATTACTCCCACACTCGCCGTACGACGCAGGGAGTCGGGGGGCTTCCTTCCTAGCTCGGGAGGAATGTGGAGCATCGAGTAACGAAGCTTCTGGTCATAGGCGGTCTTGAGCCGGTCAAGGGACAGCTGATTCTTCGCATATGTACAATCTAGCTGCTCCATTTAGCGGAGGTACAGATGGCAAAGGGATATCATACCGAGAACGAGTGCGGCTGGGATGTCGACGACAGCTCCCTCTGCAGTTCGGATTGATACATGCTCAATGAAGCCAGCATTGGACACATTTCGCGAAAGTGAAACACCGATTGTAAATCTTCGGCGATACGGTGAGCATTGACATTTGGCCACGGCTTTTACATCTTGAGTCTAAATCGTCAGTAGGATAAGTCCCAACGACACGCATGTGCACTTGTGGGGAAGCAACCTCAAGAAGCCCTCCACTCATTTACCTGAATCCTGTCAGAACGCGCATTGGACAGGGCCTGACTTGAACTCAAGAAAATCAAGAGATGATGCAAGAACTCCAGATTTCCAAATGGGATATCCAGAGTGGACGCAAGCGATAAGATCAAGTTGGGTGGATGCATTCGGTAGGCCAAAGATAAGATAAATAAACCCCATAAAACCAAAATAAAAAAAGCTCAAGCCTTTCCAAATCTAAACGCCAGACTGTCCTTCTCCAAAAACGCCCATGTCAATTTTTCCTTCCACCCCTTGGCCTTCCAATCGTTCACGCTCTCAGGGAACTCGTCAATCACATTGGGAACGGTACAGTCATGTGCAATCAGAACCAGGATATCCGGGCTCGCGTCAAGCTTGCCTAGCTTGGTGATTGTTTCGGTAGCAATCTTCGGATCAGCATAGGCCGATTGTCCAGACGGAACGGATAGCAGAGGGGTGGTACGCGAGGAGACTGAGAGGTCTCCGAGGGACTCGAGGATACGCCCGGGGCAGGGGAAAATCAATGTCAAGCCTGGGCTGCCTACATCCAACCCATTGAGTCAGGTTGGATGTTGTTCATGCTGGGGGAGAGCTAGCAGGAGACAGATGCTTGGGCACATGATGGAGACTGAGAATGATTGGGGGAGGACAGGGAGGAGGGTTGGTATGATTTCAGTTGCATGCTCACTGCTCCAGGTGAGTGCAGAAGATGATGATGGAGGAAGGAAAGAAGGAAGTGATAGAGTATGGAGCCACTCCATATGACATCTTTTTATAATATCTTCAACCTGTCAAAGTCTCTCCTGCATATGCATGGTGTTGCTGATCTGATTCAGGACATTCTTGACAGTTTCATGGCATGAATGGCCTCACATCTGAGTCAGCATTCAGAAAAGTTATATGAGAATGCTCTGCACCACAGTAACCCTGTCAAGTTTGATCTTTTTGGTCTGAAAGAGGAGGAGGCCAGTAACACAGAGGCTCACTGGCAGCAACATGGACTCTGGAGCAAAGATTCCACCAGGTACATCTACCAACAATCAGAGCATCAATCATACAAACATGAACATGTCCCACACTATGATGTCTCTGGAGAGTTTGAGGCTTGAATAATGTATCTCCTAGAGTAGAAGAGAGTCAATAGAAGAGTATTACAGCAAGCCAGTGGTGCTTTCACACATGGATATACCCAAGGATCCTGCTGGGTTTGATTGCTGATTTGACTCCCTTGTGTCAGAGACTAATAAGACCCTCTATCATAGTGCCATTTGCAATGAACAAACTAATCACATATCTTTAGATATGCCATCAGCTGGCTCATCAGGGTCAATGATAGTGATGATAGGACATTTGTACTCTCAGCACAATCTTCCATGGCATTCACCCCCACCAGTACTCTACTCTCTCATTCCCAAAGTTTTCATCACAGTGTCCAGCTGGCTTGGTAAAGGGTTGTCATCCATGCTCATGTCTTACATGTATATATCATAATTGACCATGGGAAGTATGTGAGGAGTATCTACAAAGTTCTGTCTTATTTCTTTTCAGAATGAGAACTGAATTTCAAACTTAAGACCAAGAAGAACTGAAAGTATGATTGACCAATGATGAACCAGAAATTGTTTGGTCAGACTCTCTGTGGGCAGAAAACACAAAACCTCTGGTGGTAAGTGAAACCAAGGCACAGAATCTGAAGGCTGGTTCAAGTGAGCCTAGTCATATACCTCTGTATGGTGACTAATCTCCAAAGGAGTGTAGCAAGAGGTAGCCACAGAAGTATGAGGCTCTGAATTGTTTACAGTGACTCACAGTATATACATGAACTTTCCTATAACAGTAATGTCATGTAAGAGTCTGAGTACTAGATGGTGCAAACTATATACGGTGTGAACTTTTATTGTTGGAATCCTATATGTAGTCTTGATGGAGTCTAGGGAAATTGTTAGTGTTATCCAGTTACCCTTTAAAGTCTTTTGTTAGGTCTAGACAGAGTGAGGATGACATGCAAGGGCAACAGATCTCTTCCATGTTTTTGAGAATGAAGCAAGATAAGCTAATATTTTATGAATTAATAAGTTCACTATTGTCATATGCAAGCCTTGTAAAGTTGTTGAGATGATATGGTGCTCTCAGTTAAAGGGTATTGACCTGTAGGCAGTCTGTGTAATTGGTTCTATTGGAGGGGTGTTGTACTGGTGTACAGTTTAGTATAGTTGTCAAGTAGCTTTTGTATTGCTTTTTGTATTCTACTTATACTATCTTTTTACTAATACCAAGTATGTGATATTTAAACAGCCTTTGTAACCACAGTCCTAGCTTAGTGAGCATAGTAAACTTTTTATTACATAAAGCCTTTGAGGCTGTAAGGCTTTTAGTAAATTTAGTGTATTTAAAAGTTTGTATAGCCAATAGTATGCTAGCCCTTCTAATATTCCTTACAAACATCTAACCAAACACATGGTTAGTCTTCTGCAGCCTCTTATTCTTTTATATGCTAGCTGTGAAAAGCTTAAATGTCTATAGCCAGTCTTGTGTATATATTGTGATAGATCTTATAGACCATATTAAGATGTCACATGTATACTAACAATGATATATGTCTTATATGATCAGAGATTGTGGTGCCTGGTCAGGCCTATGGCACTTATTAGAATTAAAAGTTCATACACTGTGAAGGTTAATAGGAAAAGTTCACAAGATCAAGAAAAGTTTGCAGACAAAAGAGAAGTTCACATATAGCATATAATCTTTATACACAAGGGGATATTAGTGAGTAATGGATAGTTCTTAACAAAATTACTGCTGTTGAACCTGAAATGATTGATTTACTGAAAGCCCACTTAAGGGAAGAAGTCAAAAATAATTATTGAGGCCTGTGATTTCAGAGTGCACAAAGTCTAGAGACTCATCACTGAGTATTAGGCTCAACAATATTGTTGCTGCTGGCTTCCTTGAGGTCAACAGTTCTTTATTGGTGAGCAGGAGAAAAGCAGTTCAGTAGGATTGGCAAGATGATAGAGGATGTCATTGCCAACAGTGATGATGAAAGGATGAAAAGATGAGAAGAATAACTGTCATAGCCTCATCATAACCTATTCACCTTCAACCCCTTTAACTTTGAGCTTGACATCCATGATGGTGCAATTCCTTCTATGAGTTGCTTCTTTCTCTCTTTTAATGGGTTCATCTCTTTCAGCTAGTAGTGTATAGGCTTGATCTTAAAGGAACTGCCCATACATCTTTTGGTTTATTCTTGTTGCTCTTTGTGCTGACTGAGAGAACTACAGAGTCTCTTTTTCATAACTATATTTCATTCTCTAGTGTAATCAATTCACCTATAAATCTCTGAATTGCAAGAGACACAGGCTATAGCTGTGAAATATCCTTCTGTATGTCCTCAACACTGAATTGTCTTTTCACTCACTGCCAGATGCCACAAATTCTGTGAGGACACATCCATTTCATGATGGATGACAGCTATACTATGCCAGTTGCACTATAAATGCTTGCTCATCAATTTAGATAAATGCTATTCTGAGTAGTGTTGATGAGAGGAGATGGAGAGTTAAATTCCTTTTTATTTTCATCTTATGCAGTGATATGCCTGTGTGCTGTCAAGGCTATGGCTGCTCTTGCTAGTGCCATGCTGCAGTGGAGGATTGTACTTTTTCATCTTCCTTTCAGTAAAAGATAAGTATCAGACTTGCAAGATAAGATTGATAATGTCTGGCAGTGAGTGTGATGCACTGATTGACATGCTAGAGTGTACACTTATATATATGGAGAGAATGGTGTATCATTTAAAATATTCAACAGAGTGTCAGTTGTGCAGATAAATGTGATGAAGTCATCTTGACTGTTACTTTTGTTATGCACATTTTTATCCTCAATCTGATTGTGCCTTTCTCTGCAGCTGACAGAAAGACTATTAAATGTGTACTCTAGCTCCATCTCAATTGCTCAGGCCTGGTACTACTGTCAAATGCTAGAATGATAGCATGCAACATTCTCATTTGGAAGTACTTTTTTTGTTGCAGCTCCAAGTCTTGTTATTGCTCTTGAGTTACTTGGGATGTGAAATTGATCTTAGACACAAATGAGAATTTTATCTGAGTTTACAATGCAATAAAATAGAGTTGTTTATTTTATATAATTTGTTTTATATATATGTCATTTGTATAGTTTAAGTGTCCACTATGTATTCTGGGTTTGAGTCCTGGTGGCAGGCTTAAATAGGGGAGTATTTATTTTTCCTTAAATATTGCAGTCTAGCAGGTCCATTTTTGCAGTGTTGGATTGCAGTAATATGCTTTGAGGTAATTCAACTTTAGATATTTTTGATTAATTGAGGCCAATTGAATGAATAGATGATAAAATAAATTTAATATTACACCTTAAATCTTAGTGTCAAGAGACAGATCACTGCTGCTCTCTAAAGCTTTGAGAAACAAATCAAGCACATACAGAAAAAGTGGTTAGCTTGTTCAAAGTCTACATATGAGAGGTATGTGAGATGAAGACAATGATAGAAACAGCTTGAACTCTGTGCTCTCAAATTCTAAGCTCCAAGTTTAAGAAAGGAATCCAGCAGAGGTTAAAAAGTGAAAGAGAAGAGTCAGCATGCAAGAGTCTACCTCACATTCATTGAGGATATTTGTTGGACAGCATCACAGAGTAGAACTTGTTGATAGCCCCTCTTGAAATTGCCAATAGAATGTGCTTGATAATGATGACATAATCAGGATGCTTGCTGTTGTTGGCATCAGAAACTGCTAGTTTGCATTGAGCATATCTTTCACTTGTTGATCTCCTGCATCCTCTTCAGCAAAGTAGTTGCTAAGAGTGATGGAAACAACAGTGGAATACCAGTGTAGACAGCTAAGATGAATTTGAGTTTGACTTTTCTTCATTGTATCATAGGTGAATAGTACTGCAGTTGTAGAATACACTGAATGGTAGTGACATGATATTTGGTAAAAGAATCCAGAGAACTTGCTCCACTCTGGCTTGATGAGAATCATATCTTTTAATATGTGTTGAGTGGTCCATGCACATGCAATAGCTATTGTAAAGGCAGATTCCAAGAGTTAAAAGCATTTTTACAGGCCTTTGTATGGCTCTCAAAATTGTCACAATCTCTGTTGATGCAGAGATACAGAGCTCCACTTGTTCATAAAAAGGGATTGCTGGTGCCATCTCTGTCTCAGTGTCAAGTCTCAGCTGATGCTGATTTATGAGAGACATCAGTGTCAGATGTCTCTTCTTCACTCTCATTTTTATTCTGCATTTCTAGGTGAGACAAGCTCTGCTCTCTCACTATCAATATTTTCTAATCACTAATTTCAGGCTTTGCCTCCTTCTTCACTTGTCAGTAACTTCTGTTGCCTGGTGAGGCTCCACCTCTTCCTTTATCTTGCAATTGACTCACTCAAGTAGTCTTAGCTTTGTCAGACCTAACTAATTCTTGTTCAGTACTACTGGACTATTATTGCATAAGTCATCAAGTTTTTTGTCTAGATGTTCATCTCTTAAATCTAGTGATCTCATTTATGATCTCCAATCTATCAACTGATGTTGAAAGTGTCACTGCCTTGGCTAAACATTGTGAAGACTTTATTGAGGAATGTGTTAGAGGCACTGTCAATATTCTCAACTTTGTGGATAGACTTCATCAGTTTGACATTTCATCTAAGGCTGCTAGAGATTAAATCAGACTTCTGCAGGAGCAGATTAAGTAAGCTAGCCTGCAGAGCATGACTGTTGCATTCTCTAACATATAAGATGGTGACAATGAGAACATTGATGTGACAGACCACAGAGAGGCCATTCCATCAGACTTGTTTCAGGCTGAGGTCAAGGAGTTTTGATAAAAGTAAGTTGAAAAATCCAAAGCTGCTGCTGAACAGCATTAAGAAGCCAGATCTCAGGTGGTTGAAGAAGCCACTTGGGCAATGATGAACCAAAAGTTGTTTGATCAAACTCTCTGCAAGCAGGAAATATAAAACCTGTTTTGGTAAGTGAAACCAAGATACAGAATCTGAAGGCTGATCTAAGTGAATCTAGTCATATACCTCCATACAGTGATTAATCTCCAAAGGGATGTGGCAAGAGGTAGCTATAGGAGTATAAGGCTCTGAATTGTTTACAGTGACTCACAGTATGTATGCAAATTTTCTATAATAGGAATATCACATAAGGATCTGGATATTGGATGGTGCAATCTATATACAGCATGAATTTTTAATATCAGAATCCTATATGCAGTCCTAGTGAGATCTAGGGGAATTGTTAGTGTCATCTAGTTACCCTTCAAGTTCTTTTGTTAGGTCTAGAAAGTGTGAGGATAACATGCAAGAGCAGCAGATCTTTTTTGTGTTTTTGGAAATAAAACAAGATAAGTCTATATTTTGTAAATTAATAAGTTTGCTAGTGTTGTATACAAATATCCAAGTAGGGCATAAGGTTGTTGAGATGCTATAACATTCTCAGTTAAAGGGTATTAGCCTATATATAGTCTATATAACTAGTTCTATTAGAGAGAGTTGTACTGGTGTATAATTTAGTATGGATGTCAAGTAGTCTCTATATTGCTTGTCTCCCTACTTGTTCTTTTGTACACTACTTATACTATCTTTTTACTAATACCAAGTATACAATATTTAAACAGCCTTTGTAACTGCAGTACTAGCTTAGTGAGCATAGTGAATTTTCTATTATGCAAAGCCTTTGAGGCTGTGAGGTTTTTAGTAAATTTAGCATATTTAAAAGTTCACATAGCCAATAGTATGCTAGCCCTTCTAATATTCCTTATGAATATCTAACCAAACACATGGTTAGTCCTCTGTGGCCTATTACTTTTCTATATGCTAGTGCTAAAAAGCTTAGACATCTACAGCCAGCCTTGTATATATGTTGTGATAGACTTTGTGAGCTGCATTAAGGTGCTATGTGTATACTAATAATGATATATATCTTATATGATTAAATATTGTGGTGCCTGGCCAGGTCTATAGCACTTATTAGAATCAAAAGTTCATATATTATGAAAGTTAATGGGAAAAGTTTGTAAGATCAAGAAAAGTTTGCAGACTAAAGAAAAATTTGCATATAACATATACTCTTTGCCCATAAGAGGATGTCTGTGAATAACAGATAGTTCTTGGCAAAATTACTGCCTTTAAACCTGAAATGATTGGTTCACTGAAAGTCTGCTTAAGAGCAAAAGTCAAAAATAATTATTGAGGCTCATGATTTTAGAGTGTACAGAGCCTAGAGGCTTATCAGCAATACTCCATTTAAAGCTTCAATTCATTTATCAGGCATCTAGTACAAATGATCTCTAGAGCTCTATTGCTACAGTTCTTGCTGGCATTCTAGGGCTTGGTGACACTGTCTCACTAAGGACAGCTTCTATTTCTTTGATGGTCCTTGCCCAAGCACCTCATCCTGCATTCATCATTGCCACTAGTATCTCAGATTCTCATTTTGCTAAGTCATTCTAACTCAGACAAGTTTATGCCACTGAAAAGTCACTTGAAAACCTCATCACAGTTCTTTAAGCCCAGTCTGTCTGAATCTATTGCTTGGCTATTCTGGTGACTCATTATTCAGAACTAGTACATTGATTTTTTAAAACTTTTTACTTTGATGGACTGAGGATATGATCACAATAAGAAGGCAAAAGAGCTTATGGTGGGATATACCATTATAAGAAAGGACATTTCATCTGCTAAGAAGCCTCTCAGATTAAAATCTGACTGATGCAGAGTGTATGATACCTGGGCTAGAGGTGTTCAGATTCTTTATCTGCACTGTGAGGCTGAACTCAAAGTTTACTAAGAATATGTGGTCAAAGTCTTTTGGACTGTGTCTTATGACTCTACAGTTGCTATTCATATTAATGAAGAAGTTCAGCTGTGATATGCTAAGTCCCTCTTTTGCATAGACATCCAGAGTGAACTACAAATTTTCATTTTTATTCAGGTCTTTCACTCTCCTTTGACTTCTTCAGGCATAAAATGATTTTCATCTGCTTCACTCTCTGCTGTGAAAAGATCAACAGTTTCATGTAAAAACTAGAATCTGGGTTTCTGCCAAAATCCATTCACTAATTGCTGTAAGCATGATACCTGTAATGAATGTGACTTAAGACACTAAGCTAGAGACACTGTCAAATGTGCCAATCTTCTCCAATCAAAAAGGAGATTTAGATTTGAAAGAGATAACAATAGAGATAGTAGCAGCAGCAGCAGGATCTAGATCATTAAGGCCTCAAAAATGCAAATGTGAGGATCAGAATATTGGCTCATGCTTTAGACATGGCTATATCTGGTTAAATACTTTTATGCCATCCATATTTATATATTCCACTGCTCAATCTACTGAGTCAGCTGATTCTTTATCCTCTCCTCCTTTATATTTACTCAATGATCCATTCTTGCAGGCTATGTTACATGCTTTAAAGAATTTTGTTGTAGTTGGCACACTATTCAATGTCAATCACTTGGAGAATATCCTTCAGTTTCATCTAAATGAACTCTTTGTCTTCTCAGTCATTTGTGATCTTCAGAATGGATTTTAGCCTCTTGACCTTAGTGAATGGGAAGACTCTCTCTATGACAAGACTGAGAATTATGCCACAGATCCTTGAGATATCAATAAAATATGAGCATTTCATCATCACAAAGTTATAGTCAGTTATTGATCATCATCTCTATCAGATGGGTTTACACTTCTACTAGATGTGAAAGTATTATCTATGTTCATAGTCTGGCAGAATGGAAAACCCCATATTATAACAGATTATACTTCCTCTGCTAGTGAGGCAAAGGTCAAATACAATAATATGCATTCATTTGGTGAGGCTTTTTGCAATTCTAAATTACAACATCCCAATGCTGATTTCACTCTATATAAAAGTGATATTACCAAGGCTTTTTTGAATTTACCAGCATATTCTCTATGGAAATTCATCAAGTGGTCCTTGTTGACAACCAATATCACATCATTAGGCAGCTTATCTTTGAGAGCTGAGCATCACCCAGAATTTGGTGCTCAGTTTCAGCCTTGTTGTGCTGAATTGGGATCCACCATCTCAATATCACTGACCTCCATGTTTATATGGATGACTTCTTCAGCTGTAATTTCACCAATCACCAAGTTTTCTATCAAGATCAGTGGTGAACAGCATGACAAATACAAATTTTGATATTTTAGGAATATATCTCTTGTCTCTTTGATGATCTAAAACAGATGCATGATTGGACTCTTAAAATTATTGGTTTCTGAGTCAATGCCAACCAGAGAAGTATCTCCCTTACACAGCAGTCTGTTATCAATGTCAAATCCAATGTTAACTCATTTCTTTTAACATCTGAAAGAGCACCTATTCTACAGAAATGGCAGCATTTAGATGGATATCTGAACTGGATACTGAATATTCTACCATGAGGCCATCCTGCTCTTTCTTCTTTGTATAGAAAGATAGCTGAAAAGAGTCACTCTTTCACAAAGATCTTTATCAATACTGCTATTAGAGAGGACCTTTCTTGGTTTTCATCTATTCTGTCAGATTCTATAAAAATTTGTTTTGTTGACTCAGCTCTCTGGACCAACTCAGAAGCTGACATGATATTCTGGATGGATGCAAGCTTAAAAAACATATTATTGTTTGTTTTTGTGGAAATGATTTGGTATATCAGCTCCATCCACCTTCATCTAAAAATATAATCAACATCTTCTTTCTTGAACTTGTCACTATTCTTTTGGCTATCTATTATACAGTATCTCTACTTATACCCTCTCATCACCTTTTACTTTTCATTGATAGCCTTGATTCTGTCACTGCATTTGATTTTCTATCAGTATCATAACCTCTTTACAATGAACCTTTACTTAGAGCAGCAGGCCTGATACTCAGATCAGGAATTAATGTTTGTGTTCAATATATTGATGAAAAAGATAATATTTGAGACCTACTGCTGGCATGATGGAGACAATCTTTCTAACTACACTGGGCAAGCATGCCTCTTGCATTGCTTACCCAGCTTCCTTTCTTTCTCTTCTTGATAAACATGTTTTTTTTCTCTAAGCTCATGCAATTGAGCTTAGAGTAGTAAAGAGTTATATAACAGAAGCATGTGACTATATATAGTTTGCATTACTTATGCATTGCCTCTTGAATCAACACTATTTACTCTCAGCAGGTACATTATCTATATATCTCAGTTTATCTTATCTGCCTCAAAATACTTGACTGGAGTCCATAACTTTCTAAAAGACCTCTATTCTGACTTCAATGCCAATCAGAAACACTCCATGGTACAAGCTACTATCTATAGCTCAAGAAAAACAAGAGATGATCTTATATCCCAAAAACTACTCCTTCAATTATCTCATTTGATCATTTTTTATCTTCTCACTAATATCTCAGATTCTTAGATGATCTTTTATTCACCATTATCCTTGCTTGCTGCTTTTATAGCTGCCATCAGTCAGGTGAGCTCATTTGGAAAAATGACAAATAACTTCAGGACTTTTATAAAATAATCAAACATTTTTTCTTTATCTTTCAAAAGAATGATATATAATACTATCTTCCTTACAACAAATCTGACCTCTTCTACTATAGTACTGACATCCTACTCATACAACAGGAGCTCACAGATCCAGTTATGCTTCTATTGCAATATATAAAATGTCAAGATCTTTTTTATAGCTTACATGCTTCATTCTTCATCTGTGAAAATAGTGATATCCTATCATGAAATTGGTTTGACAAGAAGTTTTTTGCAATTCTAGGCAGAGACTTTGGTGGTCACTCCACTAAGACTGGAGGAGCTATATTTTATGCATCACTCAGACTCTCAGAATCTATCATACAAGCACACTCATTATCTCCTTCTCTAATCATCTTTCCTGCAATCTGTTTATCCTTCTCAAATCACCATCACCTCTACCTCTCACCAATCAAAAGCACATAATAGCTATTCACATGTTGCAATTGATTTGAGGGTGGTCTCTAAGGCTCTTATTATAGCTGATTACATCCCACTCCTTAAGTGAGCAGCAGAGAGTAGAGCACTGGTGTTTGAATTAGAGCACATATGTCATTTCACTATATAACATCTAGAGATAGTTGACATCAATAGACTCCTTTTTTACAAGCAATATAAGCAACAGAATTTTGACATACATGACTATTGACTTTGTTTTTCAACTGTTCATGATGTGAAATTTGACCACTCTAAGTTACTCTCAGTTCTTCAGAGTTCTAAAGAATTGAATCCCAAGATGATACTGAGAAGAGTGGACATTATCCTGCATGGCTAGTTATTTAACAAGTGCTTATTGACAGCACCAGAGACTTTACAGGCTGCTTCAGGACTCATAGCCTATATTAATGCTGGCCTTGCCCTTTCACCCTACTATCATCTTTTTATCACAAATGACCCTCTCTCTGATGCTGATGAAAAAGGTATTTGGTCTTTGCTAGTTGAAGCAGAAGTGCAATGTGCTCTCTTTGAATCTGGACTTGAACAGGATGATCCAAAGATTATGGTGAAATGTGACCAGCTCTGCATCTATACCACTGCTCTTAGATCTGCTATTTTTCTGATCTAGTGTGTACTGTCAGAAATCCTAATGGAAATCTTTCTGGTGAAAGAAAAATGAGATTCACCATACTATAACATCTTAGACAAGCATACAAGACTATGGCTCATTGCAAAAGTTTGCAGAAGATGGCAGGATATAGCTTTATCTTGTCTCTAGCTGTGGTCATTATTTTTGCTGCTCAAGGACTATGATAGAATGCAATACTTGTTAGACTCAAGCATTATGTGAATCAATTACACATGATAAATGACTGCTACCTCACACTTTGGGTAAAACAATCAAGTCCACTGATGTATAATCAGATTAGTGTGTCACAAGGCCTGTGAGATTGGCTTGAAGGTAGAATAAGATGAATAAACTTTAGCTTGAAGCTGGGGATTACCAGCAAGAGTGAGCCTCTTAAATACTGTACAAGTCTGATTCTAAATATACTGCTACTAATTGTGCATTGTTGAGTCTTTTGTGCCCATCATCCTTAGGTGTCATTACTATACATAAAAGAGTGATTGTGTATTGTTGGGCAATGCTGTTGCATCAAAAGACAATGACAGACTTGGCTTGTTAGTGACTAAGCTTCATCCCACAGTCTTAAGCACCTGTGTTAGTGCTCTGACTAAGCATAAATAGAGGTTAATTTGAGAAAGAAAATAGAAAAATCATAACAATACTACTCTGGGAATCAAGGTTATTGTGGAATTCTTGGCATGGTCCTTAATCTTGATAAGCTCTCAGAACAATCTTCTGGGAATCTTGTAAAAATAGCAGAGAATGCTCTCAAATGTTCTGCAACCACTCTGTTGACTGTTTATCTTGTTCTTTCACTGTCAACAAAATAGGATGATAGAGAATGCTTAGATTGGGTGTTAGCTATCATAGTTTAGCATTCACAATAATAGAAGGATATAATGATCTTAGCAGAGAAAAGTGTCATGTTCTCTCTCTTTCAAATACATAGTAATCTCTCATTATTGAACAAACTGTGACTTTACTATTTGAACAACACTGGACTTGTTTTCTCTGGATTTGCAAATATAGTGGTATGCTTTCCAAGACTATCTATGCTGGTATGATTCCACAAATCAGATCATTTTGCATCTCCAGAATTCAATCATGCCTCTGCTCAATAATGATAATGTATTCAAAGTGACACACTCAGGCTGCAGTGAGACCTGCAATGCTGAAAATCCAACTCTGAATGAAAGCTCTATGGAGTTTAGGATAAGAATTTATCTTCTCTCCACAGATGAGAGTGGTGCCCTTAATTTTATGTCAAGAAAGTTGGTGATCCAAGCTATTAATATCCAAGATGCATATCTGTATCATCAGCAGCCATCTTTGGAGAGCAGGTTTGAAGAATAGAAAGACATAGTATGCATCTAATGCTACTACAGATGCCCACAAAACATTCATGGTTGTTTAGAGACTTTCTAGCATTTACTATAGAAGAAATGTCTTTCCTGTATGCAGCAGTACTGAATTATCTCTGAAAGAATCTAATGGGTTTGGGAGCAGATAGACAATATCATTTTTGGAGAACAGGATTATTCTGATTCATTAGCTGTGGTAGAGTCAGAGAAACAGGTTTCATACAGTGTTAGTGGTAAAAAAGTGCTCAGATAGAATACTCACATAGTCTTCAAGAAGTTGCTGATAGACATCGCATCTGTAGTTCTTGAATATGTAAACCAAGTGCACTAATATATGGACTGAGCAAGATTCAACCATACTTTGTGTTCTCCCATCTGCCAACAGTACTGGTTTCTCAAGTTTTTGGATGTCTTTTCACAAACAGATCTCAACTTTGAAGCCAAGAACAAGATCATATAAGGCAGCAGGCTTGAATATCCAACTATAGTCAGTGTTAGACTCAAGTGGCACATGATCAAAACACATGATAAACTAGAGTGGTTTCACATTTGAACCTTTCACTAGAGTTCACTTTATTGTGCTTTGTTGACTGAGTGCTTCAAGGCCTTTGCAAGTATAGCTCAAGAGTAGAATGAGATAAATAAACTTTAGCTCAAGGCTGAAGTTTAACCAGTGAGAGCAAGCCTTCTTATATACTGTACACTGTTGAACTAAATGTAAGGCTATCTATTGTACATCTCCAAGTCCTTGTGCCTATTATCCTTAGGTGTCACTATCATCCACAAAAGATTGATTGTGCATTGTTAAGAGCTGATTGCTTCATCAGAGGACAATGGCAGATTGGCTTGTTGTGCTGACTAAGCCTTTCCCACAGTCCTAAGTGCTGGTCTAGGTGCCCTGACTAAGCATAAATAGAGGTTAATACAAGGAAAAGATAGAAAAATCATAACATTACCCCCTCTTTAAGACCATTATTCTGATGGCTTAATTTAAAGATAATTTATAGTCATATATTGCATCATCAGCATTCATCTATTTCTCATTAACCCATTGGTTAGATTCAGAGCTATAATCCTTCCAGCTAACCAGGTAATTGACCATTGTTGTAGTGCTGCCACTAAGAGCTCAGATCTTTCAGAGTTTGTGATTTAATATTTGATTGATCTTATAATGTTCTTCATTGTCAATCAGGTTGGGAGGAGAAGGAGATGGCCATTGTTGATTCAAGAAGATGGAGCCAATAAAGGGTGTCAGGAGTGATTCATTAAAAATATCATATATCTTCTAGTTGACTAGAAGATGTAACTTGTAGGCAGAGGCACTGACTTTGGTGGTGATTGTAAAGGAACCAGTATGTTTGTCAGCTAATTTCTGTTTTGGTTAGAGAAGATGCAGATTGATGGTGTCTAGCTAAACCTTATCATTAGTGTTATATATGCAGGTGGGTAAGCAGTGTTTGTCAAATT